GCTTCCTCCGCCGCCGCCTCCTCGTCGTCGTCGTCCTGCCATTCTCACCGGCAGGTCGCGGTCGCGCCGCCTGCTTGGCGGGGACCGACGGCGCGGCGCGCACGCGCCTCTGCCGGACAGAAGGGGCGCCCGCCGACCGCGACGGCGTCGACGGCGAAGCCCCCGCAGAGAGAAGCGTGATCGCTCTCCTGCTCGGGACCCTCACCGCGGCGGAGGGAGAGAGCAAGAACCTGCACGGGAGGAGATCGATCGACATGCTACTGCTGCAGCTGCCCGCCCCTGCGCCCGCCCACGGCCCCGGCTGCCGGCGGGGCGCAGTCGCGCGCGCGCGGGAAAGGAGGGGAGGGGGGGGGGGAACCAACGAGCCAACCGCGCGCGGGGGGAGGCAGCGGCAGCAGCGATCGCGGTGATATTTCCGGCGATCCCGTGGCGCGAGGGGGCGCGTCGCGCCGGGCCCCGCCGGCGACTGGTGGCGCAGGGCGCGGCTACGTCGCGACCATACGCAAACGAGCAACCAGTAAAAGTGCCGTCTCCGGCTTTGGTTTGTCGCGCCGCGGGCGCGGGCTCCGCGCGCCTCGTGCGCCCACGTCGCCGCCCGGGCGCGCGCGCGCGGTTTCCGTGGTCCCGAAAGGCTCGTGACGGAGTCCAACGGATGTAACGCACTTTGCCATCCAACCAGTGAATCGCCCGCGATTCCCATGTCCACGCAGGCGCTGACGCAGGGGCGCCGGATGCAGATTCACTGGCTCGGCGAGAAGGAAGCTTCTGAGGATTCAGAAGATCCAAATTTTGGAAGGAGCGGACGGTCCGAGGGATCCTCGTTCACCGACCACAAGAGAAAGCGGAAGCACGCGTGGCCACTTTCTCCCTCACAGGCATTCGGACGAACACCTTACCGGCGTGGCGGCGTCACGGTCGGGCGTGTGAACGGTGCGAGGAGGATGATGATTCGTCAAAAGCGAAGGTTGCTGATGCTCTCTAAGTGAACTGACTGACCGACGCGATCCTCGCGGTTTGGACTTTGGAGGCGGCCGCCGTCGGTCCGGGCCTCACCGGCGCCGGCGCCGCTCGTGATGCATTGGGACTTGGGAGCCAGCGGATGAAAAATTCAGAGGTTGATTTTTATGAGACGGAGAGAGTATTCTATAAACTTATCAACCGTACTGATGTAAAAATTATCTTCAGCCTCTCATCCTCTGTTTGCTAGTTTATCAGCCACAACAACATTTAAGTTTTATACTCCCTCTGTTTCACAATGTATTTTCTCCGTTTTATAATGTAAAACTTTCTAGCATTGTCCGCATTCATTTAAATGTTAATAAATCTAGACATATGTATGTGTTTAGATTCATTAGCATCTATATGTATATATGCAATACTAGAAAGTCTTACATTATAAAATGAAGGGAATAAGTCATTCTAGCATTTCCCACATCAATATTAACGTGGGAAATATTAGAATGACTATCTTATAAAATGGAGAAAGTAACTTACTTTCAAATCAATTTATTTCTAAAAAGGTTGTCTAATCAAGTAAAAAGGTCGTGACAGAAGAGGATTACAACGAAACTTTGACGATAAAAATATCCAAACCTCAATTCTTTTTTTTTCTTCATTCATTTCTTCCATAACTTATCAACATTAGCTCAAGGGAAATTTTGCTACAGGCTACCGTGACTTCGTGGTTTTAGCTGTAGGGCACTGTACGAAGTGACTTTTGGGGGAAAACACTCCTCAAAGTTGGATATTTGTTGGTGGACATCGCGCGCATCAAAGTAATAATTTCCGGTTGAAAAGGAGAGAAAAAGCACGTGAAATGTCATAAATGCTCTTGGGCCCATATGTCAGCTCTCCTATCTCTCTTCTCTCTCTATCCCCTCCTTCACTACTCTCTCTAATATCTTCTCTCTCTATCCCACATGTCAGCGACAGGGTTGGGCAGGCCAGGTCCGACAGAGGGAGGACGAGGGCAGAGCGGACGCGACCAGCAGCGCACCCAGACAGCATCACCGACCGGACAGCAAGCGAGGTTTGGCGGTGGCAGCTGTGTGTGGAGGAGCGGTGGCGTGGCTGGACGACGACGGCTACAGCGCGCGGAGTGAGGAGGGAGAGGCTCAGTCGGTGGTCGGTGCCGCTGTCCGAGCGTGCAGCTGGCTAGAGACGTCGCCTTCCCGTCGTCGCGGCCGCTCCGCACTCACCTCCCGTTGCCACCGTCGCTTGACCTCGCCTGCCGCCCATCATCGCTGACATGTGGGATAGAGAGAGAAGTGAAGTAGGGGATAGAAAGAGAAGAGAGATAGGAGAGCTGATATGTGGGCCCAAGGGCATTTCTGACATTCCATGTGATTTTTCTCTCATCTTCAATCGGAAATTATTACTTTAATGCGTGCGGTGTCTACCAGCAAATATCTAACTTTTGGAAGTGTCTTCCACCAAAAGTTACTTCATGCGGTATCCTACAGCTAAAACTGCGAAGTCATGATGTCCTATAGCAAAATTTCCCCTAGCTCAAACAACCAAATAGAAACATTGGCAAGAACTAGCTACTATAATTTAATATTAATGTTTTCAAAAATGGTTGTTAGATAACATGAGTATCATAAAGTAAGATTTCTCCAAATTTACATCATGACGCATATAGGCATATGTAAGCTGAGATATTAGAAACGGGTATAACATTTTGGAGAAAATGGGTATTATACCATCCTCAAAACGAGGCTTCGCTGTAATGCCATTTTACAATTGGGATTCGTCCAAATACCACTTTCAACTCGGACCAACCCGCTGAAATGCCATTTTCTTCATCTGTAGTAAATCAAAATCATTTTGTCCCTTTTCTTCCAACTTTGATGACCAAACTGCCCCTGGTTGATTCAATTCCAAACTGCCCCACGGCGTGAGGGGAGGGGCGGCGACCTCGTGTATCATATCTGGTACTGAAGATGCGATACCTCCGATATCATGTTGACATCAGCTAGAACGACAGTAATACCGTTGTGTAGTCTCCTAGAAAATAAAAATATCAACAGCAACTCTTGACCGATGGCCACGACGCGGCGCGGCGCGCGCGGAGGAGGCCCACGATGAGGCGCGGCGGCGTAGGGGAAGGCCCACGATGCGGCGCGACGGCGCGAGGGGAGGGCACGGCGGAGCGGTGGCACGAGGGGAGGGCAGGGCGGTGCAGCGGTGCTAGGAGAGGGTGGCGCGTCAGTGCTAGGGGAGGGTGGCACGGCGGCGCCCAGATCGGCGCTCAGGGAACAGGAACAGGAACCATAACCCTATCGCGTGTGTATTTTTATAGCAGTGAGTGTGTAAGTGTTGTGGACGCATGTGTTTGTAATGTGTTTCTTAAAGAAATATAGATGAGCATTTTTATTTTGCACCTTATTTTTCGCATGAATATGGCATTTTTTTCGTATACACATAAAAAAATAATCTAGCTGGCCCCACTCCTGCGAGATACATCAATGGAAACAACTCACATGAAGTATACAGCACCGAGAAAACTTTGGAGGCCTCGAAGTGGCCAGCATCAACAAAACAATCATTTGAGGAAGGAGCCCGTGATGGATTACGGCTTTACGGGCCTATTTGGTTAATTTATTCCTAATTTTGGCATATCATATGTAGAGTTGTATGCAATTATTCAATGTATGGTTGCAACGTGTATTGACACGTTTATTAAATTTTCCTTTGAAGGAGGAGACCAAATAAGTCAAGTCCTCAACACGTGTATTGATCTTCCTTTGATAATAACAAACAACGCTTGCTTATAAAAAGCACTCGACATAGTAGACAATAATATTTGGTTATCTTATAGTCCAATAGCATACGCTATACATGACTTTTACCACGTAAAGGAAGATACTACGAAGATAGTGTGTGTAGTGTTGACTATCAACATGGAACTTAAACGTAATTTATACATATATAGTAGTAGCAGTCTAAACAATATACTTAGAAAGATAGTATAGCTAGCTATGGACTATTAATCCATATTGAAGCTAGCATATATAATATGTTAATTAACTATAAGGTCTTTTCTCCTCTATTTTTCTCACTATGGATTTAATGTAAATACCTTAGAACACTCATCACTATAAATTATGTGTATAGCTAGCTATTACATAAGAGCCAACGCTCATCATTTTTCTTATCTCTCTTTCACATAATGAGTTTATAGCTGACTTATAACATGATATTATCCTTTCTCTCAAAGCTAAACACCCACATCCAGCATTAAAAGCTTTAGAATTAGTTGTTGAAAATATTTATTTCGGTTATCGAGGCCTGTATGGTTGAATCCAGTTGAAAATTCAGATCTTTTAAGCTGAAACTTTTGAACTTTCAATTTAATGACCAAAATCTCTTCTACTACATATCTTTTTTGACACCGAGCCAAAAGTTTTTAAATTTTATACTAGAAAGTTTGAACAATCAAATATGTTGGCTGGGAATTGATTTTGCAGCAAAACAATTGCAACAAGTCGATGCGAATAAAGAATTAAGATTTCAAAACCGTTCAATCAATAGTACGGCAAGCGGTTTTGTCGATAATCATGATTGTTAGTACTCGACAATTGAAGAAAACCGATAAAATAGGCTAAACTTTTGTGCACTTCAAACTTAAATGATTAAGTAAATTTCACAAAATTACACATGCTTTGACTAAATTATCATAAAACTATGTATCACACAACTAAAGATTTAATAATAATTTATTATAAACCTATATGTCTAAGAGTAAGTATCACAAAACTACAAATTTATTATTAAGATTATCCGAAAACAAATCCTAGCCATTCGTTTTTATTCAAGATTAGTCTCTAACTAAACACCATATATCTCTATTAATTACTACCACCTCTATCAAACAAAAAATTACGACTAAAAATAAATTCTCTTGTTAACCTCATTATTAATTTTCTCTTCTAAACTCCTAATTCTCTTGTCTCGAGTTGCCGAACAGGAAGGACAACAGGCCGATAGAGCAAATGATGAACCCTGTCTTCTCTTGATCTCTTCTATCCTCTCCTCTCTCAACCGCATCAGTCCAAGCTACCAACCAAACCAAACACGGTCATCCGAAATCCATCCAAATCTCCAAACCCAAGTGCTCAAGCACCAACCCCAAATCCCCTCTCCCCCCCAATCCTCAAAGATGCCGTCCTCCTCCTCCTACTCCTCCTCCGTTAGCAACCCTGGTCCCGAGCTACCTAGGTCAGCGCGCCAAGAACCATGCTCTTGTCTCCTCCAGCTCCACCGCCGCTGAAGCCGCCCGTCCGCCTGAATCGACTCCCGCAGCGGCAGCCGGGAGGCGGCGGCCGGTTCTTGCTGCCCCGGAGGAGGCCAAGAACGCCGCGGTCCTTTGGCGTGGTGGTGTGCATGGCGGAGATGGCCAGGGTTGGGACCGGGTCCTCGTGGGAGGAGGAGTTGGGCGTCCCGGAGGAGAGCGACGCGATCCTGGGAGGCGGAGGCGGGGACGGGCAAAGGCGGCAGGCGACCAGGTGGGAGCTCGTCGAGGCGAGACTGAACCAGACGGTTAGTGCATATATGAGGATTAATTTGATCGTGATTACCAATGTTCATCTGTCATCTGTGGGTGGCTGGGTGCTTTACTCTTAGGGCAGTACAAGATTACCTCAAATTATGAACTACTCCCTCCGTTAAAACATAGCAACATTTCCAACACAAAACAAAGATACTACTATCAAAATATATCCAATGCTAGATTTAACAAAACTAATTTGGTGTTATAGATGTTAATTTTTTCTGTAAATTTGGTCAAACTAAGTTTAACTAGAAAAAAGTCAAAGTGTCTCGAGGGAGGGAGTAATTATAGTTGGGCATTAAATTGAACTCTCATACTTGAAACTTTTGCATGACAAGCTGAAAAGTTCAAAAGATGAAAAGCTGAAAAGGTTGAAGGACTGTGTAACTTACGTACACAAGGGCGTAAAAAAAAGAACCTGAATATTCTGATTCGATCTGTGAAGGGAATGTGCACTGACTATTGAGGGGTGGCAAATCATGAATTATCTTTAGAGGTAGTTGTTGTTATCTTTGTAGATGTCTAGCTTCAGTAAATTGTTATGAACTAGGCTTTTCCATACGGACGTTTAATTTCACTCAGATGTAGGATCTTCAATATCCAATTCCTGAATTTATGCAGTTATATCTATTAAATTTGGAGACAGAATTTTGATTACAGCTCTCTACTGAAGTGTAATTAACCATAATGATTGGCATTAGCATCACTGCTTCTCTACAAGTTGCTCTTAATTTTGTTTTCTCTGGGAACACTGGAACTCGTACTAAAGTTGTTATGTTGTGCTCCAGAGTAAATGGCTGGTCGCGGGTTGTTATACTTCTGCAGCCATTTGGAAGCATGATGCTCTTATTATGTGGGCTATGATTGGTGCTGTTCTAAACTCTATGTTTTCAAATCTTCTTAAACGGATATTCAACCATGAAAGGCCTGTGTCTGCTTTGCGGTCTGATCCTGGAATGCCTTCATCCCACGCGCAATCTTTTCTCTATTCTGCGGTGTTTCTAATTCTTTCATGTAAGCACTTTGAGATTTACTTTGAAAGTTCAATTATGATACTGTATGTCAGTATAATCACCTGAGTTTGGCTAGAGATCTCAGTTGTTTTCAGCATTTCATATTAGGTAGTGTTCTCATTCTTTTGTTTTGCAACATGCCAACATGGTTTTTATATTTCATTGATTAAGTGAATTGAGCGCAAAGATGGTTTTCCTATCTATCTATCAGCAAATTCAGTCCATCTGATCCATATTCTAATTCTATCAAATTGTAATGTCCTTTTAGAAATTTATAAGCACTTCAGATAGCTAAGGTGTTGTGTATATGTACATGTACATGTAATTTTGCATTTTCCTTGGATACACTATGCTTTTTTACATAATTTTGGATTTTCAGAAGAAAGATATTTAAGAAAGAAACCTATCACTTTCTTTAAAAACATTGGAGACTGGAGTAGACCAGTACCTCCTATATCCACAATTGGTTGCCCCTTTGCAATGTAATGCGTGGTTTATCTTAATGGCTCTTTTGCAGTGTTCTACTGGCTCGGGAGAACTTATCTGTCAGTTATTCTTGGGGTTGCAATTCTAGCAATGTGCTGCTATCTTGTAAGAATCCTTCCTGAGTAAAAATATTACTCCGTACCATATTATAGCAGCAATTGGTCACCTTGCAAACTCTTGCATCTTTAATTCTTTTAGTTTGATTGCGATTTCCAAGTTCTTCAGTGCATTCTAATCATAATTCTACTTATGTGCAGTCGTGGTTACGAGTGTCGCAGCACCTCCATACACTGAACCAGGTTCTTGTGGGTGCTATAGTAGGATCAGCCTTTGGTGCTATGTGGTTTGCGCTTTTTAATTTGCTCGTGCAAGAGGCGTTTGCTTCTTCCGTACCGGTTCAGATTGCGGTGACTATCGGGACGGCAATATTATGCATCGGCTTTGTCATCCATGTCGTTCGCCACTGGTTCAAGGATGAGTGAATAGCAATATGAAATCGCAATGACCAATAGGTGATTGATTGAGACACAAAATCAACTGGTAACGGAAGGCTCTGTATACTCTATGGGAAGATCATACTGGAATTATTTGGGAGTGGGTTCGCAAGATAGTCACAGATAGCAACCTCAGTTCATTTTTTGGCATTTTTGCTGCAGGATAGTCACAGCACTGATTCTTGTAATACAGAACAGTTTATGCTTGAAATTTCTTCCACGAAATGATAATGATGTCCTTGCTTTGCGTCACTTACATTTTCCCTTTCACAGATATACCTGAGACTGTGTCGTATTCATTGCTTCCACGCTAATCTCAAGAGATGGCAAGAGAGCATTCGATATCCTCGTTTGATGAGGATATCGTAGACGATTTTTTTTTTCCTGTGATAGATACTTTTTTTTTTCTTTGATAGATACGGATGATCATTACTTCTGATTCTTGGTAGTAGATACTGAAATGATCAGTTAATTCATTTCATTGATAGATACGGAGATGATCAGTTACTTCAGACTTCAGAGAATCAGAAATTCCGAATGCCTTGCAAAGTTGGTAACGTGATTGCCGCTCGTTTTAATCTGACGACGGTAGTTCACCCGTCCAATTGCACAGCTGAGATGCAATTATACATTTACATGTGCAAATAACCGACAAGATTAACGCTACACAAACAGAATGGTAAAACCATCACAATTCAAGATCACGAACACAATGATCAGATCAAAATTGCGATTTTCAAAACCAACTCCAGTGGAGTGAGTTTGCATGGACCATGGATTACTAGCCATCCACATTCCTCGTATTATTTTTGCACAACCAACTATGCAAAGAGGGATTTACTGTGAGGGAATGGAGCCAGTCCTGTAGGGAGATGGCCCATTCGACATTTACAGAGGAAGCGGCGAATGAAGATTGCAGTGATCACGGCCGATCACCAAAAGAACTTATACAATCTTTTCTTTCCCCTAGGATTGTATAGTTAGAGCTTGTTAGGATTTCTGAAGGGTCGAGAAGATACATCTTCATCTAGCTCTAATCGCTGTTGGTATTAGAGTCTTGACTGGCTTGGGGCTGCGCTGCAGGTAGGTAGGACCAGGCAATGGCTGCTGTGCCAAGGGTAACTGCAAGCCCAACCGAGCCCCAGAACCACTTCTGTCTCTTCTTTCGGATATTTCGTTGTTGCCTCGACATCTCTGCAAGACATTAGGAAAGGAATTCACTCATCAATTACATGATTATTTGCAATATACTACCAACTAATGTTTCTGATACAAAGCAGTTAATGGCAAAAGATGTAAAAATATTATAACTATAACAATGCATTTCATATCAGTCTGAATTTAGACAATTGAAACCTGACACCTAGGAGATTCTACACACCAAAGGGAATATTTCGACCTTTCAAGTTCTGCAGATCAGCATAAGATATTTACTCACTATAATACATTATTCACCATTATAACTTCTAAATATTGTATGGGATTAAGGTCAGAAAAAGAAGCATTGTGATTGACGAATAATATACACATAACATATGTACTAATTGCAAAAATCAATGTTTAAGTTCAGGATGAGTACCGATAGCCTCTTGGTTTCTTTGAGACATCTCCCTGTTTGCAGCTTCATAGTACTGGACCCTATCGGATAGCCTTGCAATCTCGAAGTTCTTTGCTGCAATCTTAGTTTCCATATCTGTCTCAACTTCTGCACGAGCAAATCCCCGTGCAATAGCAGCAGCCACAAGTTGTGAAACAGTTATTTGTTGGCACAACTCAGCTCCAGGATCCATGCTTGAATCATCAGTGTCCTCAGCTAAACTTGGAGGTGGAAGTGTCAAGGCAATAAGTGATAGGTGATCACTCAGCTTCTTCCACTCCTTTTGCCAGTTCTCAAGTGCTTCCTCAGCTTGCTTCCTTCTCTCAATTTCCATCAACAGACTCAACCTCATTTCACGAAGGTCATCATCCATGCATTGTGAAGATCGAGTTGCACCATCACTGGATATTTCTGCAATTGAAACAAAGTGCACTTTGAATAAAACAGAAGCATTTTCACAGCCATTAAGTACACAAAAGCAACCAAAGTGTTAATGAAGATAATCTCTTTCCCAGAACAACATGGAAAATGATCTTTGAGATAATCATGGGAGTAAAAGAATCAACTCATAGCCCACACTTAGTTACCGCAATGAGTAGACAATATAATTTTTTTGAACTTTTGAAAGAAAAATGAAGGATTTTTTGCAATCGTTATTTCTTGCCTCTGTCATATCACGGAAACCTTCGATTTGGAACGGGGAGAGATGGCTGAGTGGACTAAAGCGGCGGATTGCTAATCCGTTGTACAATTTTTTTGTACCGAGGGTTCGAATCCCTCTCTTTCCGCCCCCTCAGATCGTTTGGGACTTTCAAATTGGAAGGAATTCTGACCCCCAGATTTTCTCGTAGCACACATGGTTCAATGCTTAAAGAAAAAATTGTGACCCGAAATGAAAGAGATAACAAATTAACAGAAAGTCATTAAGTTTTGAAAGCTCTAATAACTAAGTTGCACCTGAAAGCTATGAAAAATGCTTAACTAACCAAACTAAGCTGTGAAGGCAATTGTTTTCAAACCCCCAAAAGGAACACCTAAACTGCTGTAACAACAGGACAGGAGGCATATTGAGAGGTCCATGGTGGTCATATACTAAACTAATGAAAAAAAAACATGTTGAGTAGCACAACACTGTGGAACAAAACTAGTAATTCATTATTGGTACCCTTAGAATTAAATCACAATGATTCATGAACCCTTCCGGAGTTCTTTGTTTGCATTAACAATTCTTTTCACTCCACCTGCAATCTTTTTACCCATAAAGTACTCTATAGTACTAAGTAAGCAGGAGCAGTACTAGTTCTACTAGAGAATCCAGTTGAAACATGATGCGAAGCATGCTACTACATTGATTAATTGGTTATCTTTGTATCACCACAACAGTCTAAGATGATCTAAACACAAATTAAAAGGAGCAAAACTTAGCATTAGAACACAGGAATTGTTACCTTCGAATGCATCATAAAATTCTGCACCAGGTGTGCCAACAGATGTCCCAAGAGGGGAACTAGGCTTCCACCACCGCTCATGCCCACCAGCATCCTCCGCCTCAGAGTTACTAGCCATGCTCAGTGAATCCTGAAGCTCAAAGAAGGCATCATTGTTGATTTTCCTTGGTGTTCCACCATTGGCAGGCCTTCCAACATTGACAGGCCTCACTGTCGCATCAGGATTTCCATGCTGAAACTCGAACTCAGCCTGATCATGCCCATATTCGCCTGAAACAGTGCCCTTGCCCTTCTGTAGCATTCCATTCTGCCAGTCGAGGGTCTCCACCACACCACTGTCACCTTCAAGTACACCATTGCTTGCTTGCTGAAACTCAAACTCAGGTTCCTGCGCTTCAAAGGATTGACTTCTTTTCGGCAAAGGAGGCAGCGTCACAGAGAGCGTGGGCTGCTGGCTACCATCACTACCAACATCCCCCTGGGAAAGTGTCTTCACCAAGCAGGGTCCCCTCCTTTTATGGTTGATGAGGTACGGTGACCAGGTTCCTGGGAACGACGAAGGCGAATCCGGCAGTGATGTGCTCTCAGGCGTGGCGTACAGCGTCGCCGACGCAGTCTGCGCTCTCCTGACAGGAGCCACCGGCACAGGTATCGGCTTCTCGGCGGCCTTCTCCTGAGGAAGGGGAGGAGCTGGAGGCGGCTTGGAAGCAGCCTTCTGGGACTGTGTAGCTGACCCGGTCTCCAGTAACGGGTCCAGCACGTAGTGCGTGATGGTCGGCATGGTGATGCGGCTGCCGGAATCAGAGGGAGATCACCGGAGATTTCGACTTCCTGGCATCAACGGCGGCGCCCTGAATCGCAATTGACAAAACAAAGGATGTCAGGATGAATCAAATTCTCATCCCAGTTGGGAAGGAAAACATGCCACCGAGATTAGGAATCCGATCCAAATTATTCGGGAACATCTCCAGCGGAACACGTATGCACCCTATCCTTCGAAAAAGATGCAGCGTAAGATGCCCAAAAGCACCTACAAATTTTTTTATAGAAAAAATAAAAGGAGAAACGCACGACATTTCTCCACCTAAATCTCCAAAAAATCAACCATGAATCCGCAAACGAAGACTCATGAATCGAACACTCCCCTCAAAAAAAAATTGACCAAAAAAAACACAACCAAATCCGCCTCGCAGAATTAATCCGCCCAAACCAACCTCCCGAACGAACCAGCAGCTCCTCCAGATCAGGAGGCGAGATGCCGCAGCCGGCGGCGGCTCGAATCAAACCCCTCCTCTCTCCAGAACCAGCACGGCCCTCAGAACAAAAATAAAAGATAATTTCGTCCGGGAACATACCAGCCACCTGCCCCCGGCGGCGCGCGCGCGCGCGTGCGATGCGAGCGGCGCCTCCACCTCGCGCGGGTCGCGTCGCTGCGAGGAAACCCTAGCCGCCGTGTCGCGCCCCCCGCCGCCGCCGCCGTCTCTTCCTCCTATCGCGTTTCGAATTTTATGTGCGGGACACAACAAAAAAAATAAATAAGCGGCGCGAGACGAACCAGCCGTGCACAGCTCGAGGACGAGGGTCGAGGGGGAAGCGAACCCTCAATAAAAAGAGAGAGAGAGAGAAAGCAAGCTGGCAATTTTTTATTTATTTCCTGCGATTTACTGCCTGGAGCACACGAAAGGAAACAAGGAAAAAAAATAAAAGAGCGAGAGCCCCGACACGATCCCTTGCGTACCCAGCACGATCCGACCGGTGGGCCCGGGCTGTCAGCGGCGGCGGTGGCACCGCGCCGTGGTGCGCGAGGACTCCACTATTCTTGGAAGGGAAGAAAGAGGTGAAACGAGTGGGTACGGGAGACCGGGGGGGAAAAGCGGCCCGGGTCGGAGTCAGTCAGGTCTCGCGGTCGGACGCCGGGAAGATGGCGCGAGGCCGAGGCGTTTTGGTTGGGTGGCGGTGCGTTGGGTTGGGACTACTCTGGGTTGGTGGGCTCGTTGGTTCGGTGGCTCCCCGCACCGCACCGCGTGTGACCACGTGACGCGCGCTGGGCACGCGGCGGGTGCAGCGTGGGTGGCCGCTCTTTTCGCGTGCGGGAAATATCCGAGACTCCGAGTCGCTCTGGACAAATCTGGGCCGTTCGCGGCGGTGTCCGTCTCGGGTGGGTGGGTGTGGCAGTGACGCCACCGACGACGCAATCACGCGAGCCGAGCCCGATTCGAGGATCTGCTATGCTACGGTGTCCTTGTGCGACAAGTTCTCGTAGCCGAGGTGCATTGACTTTGCCAACTCAGGTGTAATTTGACTCTGACTCTGTGAAAGAGAGAGGGACTACGAGTAGTATAGGAGTAGATGTTTCTGTGTACCGTACACGGATTACACGAGCGGTTCGAATTTACAGCATCGTTTCTGTCATGAATTCGGAGCAGGCTTGTAAATTGCTTGGGATGACGAAATCCGAGGAGGAAGTGCTTATCTGCGATGGTCTTCTTGCCATGGTGATGACTGACTGATGAGGTCATGAGCCATGCATATGCATGGATCGAGGTGCATTGACTTTTGACTCTGTGAAAGAGAGATGACCGGTGTAAATTTTACATAATTCTGTGTACCGTACACAGATTGTAGTAGAAGTGGGTTTGCGATTCTACATCCTCGATTGACCTCTTAGGGTGTGTTCGGACCCAAGGATTCCCAACCCTTCTCTATTGTATTCCGCGCGCAAGCTTTTCAAATTGCTAAACGGTGTGTTTTTACAAAAAGTTTATATATGAAAGTTACTTAAGAAAATTAAATTAATCTATTTTTGAAAAAAAATAGCAAATACTTAATTAATCACACGCTAATGGACCACTCCATTTTCCGTGTTCACTGTTCCGGATGGGAACGTGTTCTAGCAAACACAACCTTGAGATGAGATAGAGGAGATTGGGAAGATACGCAAAACGAGATGAGCTATTAGCACATGATTAATTGACTATTAAGTATTTTAAACTTTAAAAATGGATTAATATGATTTTTTAAAATAACTTTCCTATAGAATTTTTTTTGCAAAAAACACACCGTTTAGTAGTTCGGGAAGTGTGCGCGTAGAAAACGAAACAAAACTCACTCACAAATCACAATCACCTAGAAAGAACACAGCCTTATTTGTTTACGATTTGACCAATCCTGCAAATTGCATCCGTTACATGGGCCGACTCGAGTTAGGCTAGGCCCAACAATAGTCAGTAACGGTTTCCTCCTTGACTCCATGGGCTAAAATAATAAGCCCAGCCGCCTCGTCGGCTGCGGCCCAACTCTCGCCATCGCAAAGTCTCATCGCCGCTTCGCCGCAGCAGCCGCCACGCCCACTCGACACCAGTCATCACGCACGCCTCGCTCCCCGACGACGACCTCCTCCTCCTCCGCCGCCGCCGCCTCGGCTCCCCTCCGATTCACCGCGATGTCGGCGGCGATCTCCGGCGCCAGCCTCGTCCTCTCCTCGCCCCCCGCGCCCGGGGCCCGGCCCCAGCCGCGCCCCGCGCGGGTGTCGGTCGCCGCCGCCGCGCCCGCCGCGCGACGCGGGGTCGTTGCCGCCGCAGCGGTGTCGAGCCCCGCCGTGTCGTCCTCTGCTGGTAAAGATGGTTAGTGTTTTTCTCGCGCCGCATTGAAGTGTTGTCGATTGCTCGTTGAGTCGTTGGGGAACTAGCGTGTAGTCAACTTGGTACTGACAGCTAGGGTTCTCGTCTTAAAGAAAAAGGAACAGCTAGGGTTCTGGTGAGGAATGTGGTCTTGTTAAATCTTGAATCGATTCGATTTTTTTCAGTAAGAAATCAAATTTTGTGATCCGTTGGGGGTGGCTATGAAGATTGATTGATTAATTAAATGCGAATATTTTAGTCCTCTTTCTTTTGGACATCAGGCGTTGGGTTGCTCCGGGGGATTTGGAATATAGTTGAGGGTGGTGCAAAACGTGGATGCAACTATGGTAGCTACAGATGAGAAATGATTTTGTGATGAGAGTCCTCGAGAGATCACACTGGATATATGGGTGATCAAGCAAGAATCGGACAGATTTTCCTGTTTGACAATGCAAAGCAAAATCTGTTTTCTTTCCCCTTGATCCTCTCATCAATGTGATATTTTTCTTGATTGGATTCCGTTTCTCATGAACTTTTAACAACAATTATTTGTTAAGATTTTTGTTTTTCAATTATTGTTTACATGGTTGGTAGTTAGCTGTTTTGTCCTACTACTTTTCCCCCCTGAAGATGCACATGTGCAACCAATTTAACTTTGTTTTATTTAGAACATGATCGCTCAATCTATGATATGCAATTTTAATCCTTTGGGCATCAATAATGTTTTTATTACTGATTCATGTGCAGTTCACTTCCTTAATTATGTTGTCATATCATGCAGCCAAACAGATTCCTAAGGACTTTCTTCATATTGATGATTTCGACAAGGATACAATCATGAAGATCCTTAATCGGGCTATTGAGGTCAAGGCAATGATAAAGTCAGGAGACAGGAGCTTCCAACCTTTCAAAGGGAAATCAATGGCAATGATATTTGCCAAGCCGTCAATGAGAACCCGTGTTTCATTTGAGACAGGATTCTTTTTGCTTGGTGGCCATGCTATCTACCTGGGTCCTGATGATATCCAGATGGGCAAGCGTGAAGAGACCCGTGATGTTGCTCGTGTGCTTTCTGGATATAATGACATCATTATGGCCAGGGTTTTTGCTCACCAAGTATGATCATAAGGCCCTGGCTTTTCTGTTTGATCTGTTTACCGGCACAATCTACTTGTACACAGATACAGAATTTACCCTACACATAAAATCTGCATGCTCCATACTGCTTAGTGATCAGAGTTAAGATAAAAATATAGGAACTTCTTTGGTGCTTGGGCACAGTTAGTTGTATACTGGGAATTCGGAAAATCATTAAAATTAGAGAAATAAAGCTTCAATAAAGTATGAACTTTGACAAAGTGTAGTTCTATAATCATCTAAGTGCCAACATAGAAATATTTGGATTGATGTCTTTTCTATACATAAATGTATCTTATCTTCAAAATTGATCATTTACTCAACTTTCACAATATTTTGCTTGCTTTGTATGCTTAACTACAGACATACTTCACCTTTCTATGTTATTCCCATTCTGCACCCATGCATTGCTCGTAGAATTCAACTGAAGGTGATTCCACCAAGCATTCTCATATCTTCCTAACAACTTATATGATCTTGCAGGACATTTTGGACTTGGCAAAGTATGCAGCTGTACCTGTCATAAATGGCCTTACGGACTACAACCATCCATGCCAGATAATGGCTGATGCACTTACTATGCTCGAACACATTGGTCGTATTGAAAACACTAAGGTAGATCATTTATTGCACCCTAAGGAACCACCATGTAATCTTGCTTTAGTATATTATGACTAATTTTCAACTTTTATTGTTATGAAGGTTGTCTATGTTGGAGACGGGAACAATATTGTCCACTCATGGCTTCGATTGGCTGCTTTATTTCCTTTACATTTTGTATGTGCCTGTCCTAAGGGCTTCGAGCCAGATGCAAAGACTGTGGAGATAGCCAGGAGTGCTGGTAGTAAGATTGAAATAACAGATGACCCTATGGAAGCAGTTAAGGGAGCAGATGTTGTGTATACAGATGTCTGGGCCAGCATGGGCCAAAAGGAGGAAGCTGAATATAGAAAAAAAGTGTTCCAAGGATTCACGGTTAGAATACCTCCTTTTATGCTCTTGTTCCGATGTTCTGTCTGCACAAACTCATTTTACACATAATATCTCAGTAGTCCTCTCCACTATTATCTGCATATGGGATCTGGCTAATACTTTATTCTCAATACTTTGTTTCTTTGTTCCTGCAGGTGGATGAAGCTATGATGGAGATGGCTGGGCCAAATGCCTTCCTTATGCATTGTTTGCCTGCAGAGAGAGGGATAGAGGTAACAGACGGCGCCATTGAAGCTCCCAACTCAATCGTATTCCCCCAGGCTGAGAACAGAATGCACGCCCAGAATGCTATCATGCTTCACGTCCTTGGTGCTTAGACCTACAGTCGTGTACCAGTTAAATGAATATTGATATCTGAATGGCGATATCATTTCGGTTTTCGCAGTTTCTCCCTGGGGGCAGGAGGGTAGAGATTTTGGAGAAGTTCACTATGTTCAGATGCTTTGGATTGTCTGATAATACTATTTTGTACTTTTCGTGGTAGCTGCTTGTACTGTACCAGGTCGGTAAATCCTGAATAAATGGCGCACCTTTATAATCCATTTCCAAACTGTGTTAATTTTAGATCTTGTTCAGATTTGACTTGTTCTTATCAGTCTTTACCTCTCTCTTGCCTTACTCTAGTCACATTTTCCAAACCGATTGAAGTTATATAATCTTCCATGTTTGAGAGGAGAAGAAAGGAGAAAATTGAGAATATACTCAAAACAAGATGAGCTATTAGCGAATAACTAATTAATTAATAATTATTTTTAACTTAAAAAATAAATTAATATGATTTTTTTAAAAATAATTTCATATAATTTTTTTAAAAAAAACGATGCACCGTAACTGTTTGAGTAACGTGCGCACGAAGTACACAGCCTAAACGAGCCGAGTCCACGTCTCCATGGCTGCGATACGAGTCCTGAGAAGACGACCAACCCACCATATTTGACGTCTCCATGGGGCTGTGATACGAGTCGTTACTCGTGACCACCATAATCTTTGACATCTCCAAGGCTGCGGTACGAGTTCCTCGAGTCGCACTCGCAACCCAACATATTTGAGGCTTTGCAACAAATTACGCATGTCAGTCAAACAGACTAGCGTCATACTATCAGGCAAGGTAACGCCGCATGGCGCTCCAAAACAGCAGGTGCAAAGCTTCTCAGAAAACACAAGGCAGAATCAGAATGCAGTAAATCATGCTTACACAGGCAGAATCACACGATTTGTCAAAAAGGATTCCAATGAGCCTTTATGTAAATGGTTGATTTCTATTAGGTAACCGTTCAGCAAACTGTCGGTTTGGGCAGCAGAGAGTTCAGCAAAGGGGTCAGGTGCTTGGGACCCGAGTATCTGACATGGCATACATGGAAAGAAAAGGTGCTGCTTCTTGTCTTAACATGAATAGTAGAAGGTATATATCCCCGAAGTACTGGTTTTAGACCATGTATGTTAACATATGTCGTACTATTGATGAGAAACTGTTCAGTGAATCATGTAGCCTCTGCAGTTGATCAGCTGGAGATCACTTCCTCAAGCTCTCAATGATGTAGGCGCCGTAGAGGTCCCTGTGGTGTAACAATTGATAGTTTAGTCAGTGGATTGATTGTGAAGACGACAGGATAAAGAATGAACATCAGGTTTTGCTGAAGAATTAACAAGCAAAACTCACATTGAGTACTTGATTGCGTTGATGGCATCTTCTGCTGGGAGAAACTCATTGACAGCAACTTCTTTGTTCTCATTCTTCTTGTCTGTCAACACCACAGAAGTTTAATTATACAGTTCTAGTATCTGCAGTCAACTATCTACATTATAACATTTGGAAAAAGGAAGACATGGATATAGAATAAGAATATACAGTCTTCAAAGAAGCGGCGGATCTCTTGAAGGCGGTGAGGGGGGATTTCCTTGATGTCCCTGAAGTGGCGGTATTCAGGGTCATCAGCACAAACAGCTATGATCTTGTCATCTTTCTCACCCTGTTTGCATCAAATGATCATGTGTAAGAACTCAAGCCATTAGATCATAATCACTTGGTACAGAATACCATTATTTCTTTCTTGTGTTGGGCTACTGACTAGTCTAGGTGAAATCTCATCTATCAATCAACTCATACTACTGTTTTTCTTTCTTTTGTCCAGAGAGTAAAATCACATGGATGATGGATCAAGGGTACTGTTGTTTTTGTTTCATTTGTTGGCTTAGAGAAATTTCATGCACCAAGCAATAAAGCATGGAAACCTTATCTAACAAAAGCAACTTCCATGTAACCAAGGATGGAGGAATTTCCCCTCTCTAAAAAAAAAGCAAGGACATGATGGGATTTAACCTGATCAATCATAGGCATGAGCCCAATAGCACGAGCTCGCAGGAAACATCCAGGGACAACTTGTTCCTATCAGGAGAGAAAAAGAAGCAATGTTAGAGAAGGTTTGTATATTTTCTTTTAAAAAACACACACACATCCATCAGTTACCTGCATCAGGACGAGGACGTCCATGGGGTCACCGTCCTCACAAAGTGTGCGTGGAATGAAACCATAGTTGTGTGGGTAAACAACAGATGAGTAAAGAACACGATCAACCTGAAACACAGGTAAAATTTTCAAGTTCTCTTTTGTCAATGTTGAAAATAAGTCGTTTATTGCAGCCCCTCGCATTATCCCTGTCACTAACCATCCTACTGTTAATGGCAGTCATAATGTTTGCCATTTTAAAGTTCTGATCAGAAGAAGCATGATTTTTGTACCATGAAGTGCTAATTGATAGTGCCATTTGATCTCCTCTTACATTTTGAGACAAGATATGGATTCAGTGCTTATTTCAAATTGGGAGAATATGCTCAGTGCTCATAAAGACCAAAGATTAACATGTAGCTGGTACATGTAAGAAATATATGCATTTGCTTGAGTAAAATTAGTATGAGCTTTACCTTAATTAGACCAGTTGCCTTATCCAACTCATACTTAACCTTGCTGCCTCTAGGAATTTCAACCACCTGACAAAAAAATCATGCAGTTTCATAGCATAGAACTTAGCAATACCCCACAATCCAGCTAAAGACCAGGCATACTACAAGAAAGTGGTCTGCACGATCATTGAGTAACAATTGATTTGTGGATATAATCGAGTGCAGCAGCTTGATACATGTTTAAGCAAATGTGCACCAGAAATAGGAAACACACGGTCATTACTCAACAGTCAACATTGTCCCAGCATGTTTCAATAGGAGCAAGCATTTGACCCCACAACAATACAATATACATAGTACTATATAAAGTGAAGTTTAGGTTGATGATTCCAAAAGCCTAAGGACCAGGCGGTCAGTTCAGACAGTTCGGTTCCTATGACACCATGAGAGATTCCAACTATGAAGGTAAAGAGCCAGATTGACATTCAACCCATAAAATGACACAAATCATATTTAGAGATTTAGTAGTAAAGGTAAACTTACACAGTTGAAAACTGCTGGAGCTCCTGGACCTGCATTTAAGAGGACAATAGGCATCCAATAAGACAAATTTGGAACAAGAAATCATTCAGAGCACAGAATAATTCAAGCATAAGCAAGGAAAAGACTGAACAGAAAAAAATATATTCTGAGTGAAACATTGCAAGGTACCTATCTCCAGATCGTGCCATGGATGAGCAGCAACATGTTTTTGAGACATGGAAGAAAGGATGCGCTCGTTGAGAGCAGCAGGGGGGTATCTTGATCCCAGTGGGGCTTTTCCATCAGCTTCTCCAGCCATGGCTATATAAATTATAAATATGTCATTGAAAAGCCAAAATGTATTATCTAAATCAAGGATATGGCAAGCAAACAAGATACTCTGTAAAAACAGGTTAAAAAAGAAGTTAAAAAGTTATACCCAAACCAGGTTCTAAAAACTACTGGGTAAGTTGTCAATATTGTCCATCACTTATTAGATCTAACAATAAGTTGAATGATTGAACCACCTTTTTATGTGAAGATAAGTTTCACACTGAGGCTTGACTTTCAAGGATCGACCCCATCATAAGAATGATAGTAACAAAACATAGGTGCTACAAAGATATTGACGATAGCGCTAGTGAACAAGCTAACTATGTAACATTTTGCCTCACATTACATGTAAAATATATTGTTCCCAAACCCATACAACACACTACATTAAGATAAAGTACTGCATACAGTTAACTACTAACTTTTCAAATAAACTACTGCATATACTGTACCCTCTAACAGCACATTCTAGCAGACAAAGTATGCACTTATCCAGTAATAACGTCGCTTGCAATATGCATGATCTCAAGGACCAAGTAAACCTAGAGGTTTTGGTTTTTCTTGCAAGACAAAATAGTTTACAAAGAAGTTGAAAACAGTTACAAAAAGGGTACATATCCAAAATCTACACATCATCTGGTAAATGCTGCGAACTTAGGATGCAGAGAAGTTCCCCTTCTAAGTAACTTCAACGCCACATATACAAAAGGCGATTCGAAAGTGCCCTTCAAAGTAACTTCGAAACAACACTAAGAAAAGGTTCACTAAACAACTGCAAGTGAGGCTAATCTAAGCAACAGGCAAGAATAGCGGTTAGACTACTAATCTATGCAAGTTACGAGCAGCTGTCAGAAGGATCGTACTAATATATTGATCGAGCTAGCTGCTAGTACGAATTTAATAACAAGAACTTGAAAATGTGACATCATGTCCTAAGTGACTCCAGATGGAGACAAGGTGATGAACCTAGTCCTGGACAAACCATGCATCAGATTTTTTGTAAATAAAAGGAATCATCCGCAACTGCAGGTGCGACAAAGAACAGCTGCTGGCAAGCAGAAGCATATCTTAGAGAGGAAACAATCACAACAACGAGCAGATGGTAGCTGCTGGCAAGCAGAAGCAGATCTTAGAAAGGAAACTATCACAACAACGAGCAGATGGGGAGTAAAGCTCTGAAAACGAAAGAATGCCGCTACATGTTTGGAAAACTCATCAGGAGAAGAAAACTTGCCCCAAAAGGAGGAAAAAGAACACCACGAAACGAGAAATAATCTCCACTGAAAACACCACGAAACGAGAACTGATCTCCACCGCAAAACAGATCGAAATAGACACAGACAACAAACTAAAATTCGCAAAAAAAAAACATCAGCAAGTTTAGACGTAGTACTAGTAGAAGTAGCATTTAGTTCCAAGAACACCGAAATGTAGCGAAGACGAAGGAAAAGGCGGAAAAATTGGGGGAAATATCCTGCGTTGAAAAGGAAAGCGAAACCAACAAAAAGAATATTATCACGAACTGCATAGCCGCCATCAGATGAAGCACATGAAAAGGTGTTGAAAAAAAATCCAAAGTAGAATGACTCCCGAGACTGCACCACGACTCATCAGAGAACGAAACACACACAAAAAATACCCAAAAAAAAAAACGAAAATCCGCACAAAAAGCAGCGGAAGAACACAACACGCCGAGTTGGCGAAAAACCCGCTCGCTCTGGCACTGCCACATACAGTACACACAGCAGCCGCACCGATCGTTTCCGAGAAACCAAACACCACGAGCCGCCACGAACAACCCCAAGCAACCACACACACTACGCAGCAAACCGTGGAAGAAGAACCCTCACCAGCAGCGAGCCGATGAGAAGATCTCGCTGCGGCGGAGGAGGAGAATGGCTCCAACAACAACCGCACTGCACAACTCATCACAGAAACGAGCAACCCAAAAAGAAAAATCTGAACCAAAGCAGCGGAAGAACACACGGCGAGTTTCACGCGCTCACTCCACTCATCACACACACACAAACTCACAAACACGCACGAGACGACGCCGCCACACAGACAACCCAACCAAACCGCACCACGCGCACACGCAGCAACCGATCCTACTCTACCGGAGGCGAGGCGAGGGAGAGAACCCTCACCGGAGCGAGTCGATCAGGAGATCTCGCGAGAGCGGAGGCGGAGGAGGAGGAGGAGAAGCGAAACGAAGAGGACGACGCTCGCGTCCGCCTGTCCTGTCTAGTCTCGATTGGTATCTCGGCGAGGGCCTTTTTGGCGATGCGAGGAGGGGAGATGGGTAAAGCCCGAGTAGGCGTCCTGGGGCCAGGCGCCGCCGCGTCGGGGGCCGTCGGATCGGGGATCGGACGGTGGGGATGGATCCACGTGTGGGATAACGCTTTAGTGGAAGCAGAGAGAGATGGGTGGGGGTGGGGCCAGGCGAGGCGAGGCGAACCAGATTCTTTCCCACGACCACGAGAGGAAGAGAAGGGCATATACTGGGAATCGGGATCACGAGTTCACGACGTAGGGTAGACCTCGTCCACTGTGGACCATGCTGTACAGTGGCACGGGGCACGTCGGTCACTGCGTCGCATCGCACTAGTACCAGTACTGTATCGTGTAGTCCACACGTATATATCGTGTACGCGTGATTTCTTTTTTTTTTTTGTTGTTGTTGTTTTTTCTTTATAAATGGTTTTTTGTAAATTTTTTTAAGTAAGTTTTCGCTTTAGACTAGTATCTTTTATTGCCGGTGTTTCGCTTTGAGTCACCCTCCAACCAATGTTTTCATTTTAAACGGGGTAATTTACCAATGTATCACTTACTATTTTTATCTATTTACATCCAATTTGTCATATATCAAAGAAACGGTCTACATACAACAAAAAGGTTTATTGACGAATAGAAGGTAGCATATTCGAGGTTGTTCATATGCTTGAGAAGAAAGTTGTGGTGGTCCAAAATGAAACAAATGTAAAATTACTCGTCCCAAAGTGAAAACATTAATTAAAAGGTGATGCAAAGTGAAACATCAGTAATAAAATGTGGCTTAACGTGAAATTTACTCTTTTTATTTAAAAAAATACACGAAACGAAAACCAGTGCACATATTAGACCTTAGGGAAAACATATTGAAATCTCATTTGTATGTGTAATATTTATGAGCATCAGGATTTCACCACTAATGTTTTCCTGTTTATTGTAATTTCTAGTAGCGTGAAAGGTCATAAGTTTCTTTTTATGTCATTTTTCTTTTCTAATTTTAAAGTGCCGATCCATTAGAATGTTGCAGGTAGAAGTCTGCAAATTCTAGGAGTTAATGCACTGTTTTCTCTTTCAGGGAGTGTTATCTTACTTTTTTTTAATGGACTCATAAAGTCCCCACTTTCCAGTGCTACAGTAATTGTCCTCCACTTTATGACTATAGTAAAACTGTCGCTTGAGTTTTTATTTGAGAGATTCAAAATATTCAATGTGTTCAAAACGATATCATGATCATGCAAATCCAAGATAAGGGGCATTTTTATTTGAGAGATTCAAAATATTTAATGTGTTCAAAACGATATCATGATCATGCAAATCCAAGATAAGGGATAACAGTGGGACGGAGCGGGGCTGGGTTGGACAGGAACGCCCCCTCCCCCTGTTCCCCGCATCCCCCCCCCCCCCCCCCCGCATTGGCCACCGGGTGGAAAACCTCACCCGCCTCAGCCGTCGTAGGGACGGGAACGCCCCCTCCCCCGCTCTCCCTGTTCCCCGCATTTTCCCCCCGCCCCCGCATCGGCCACCGGGTGGAAAACCTCACCCGCCCCAGCCGTCGCAGGGGACCCGGCAGGTGAGCGGGGCCTCGTAACTCCAGAGCGAGCTCCGGTGATGACAACGGCGTGCAAGCTCCGGCGCACAGGTGGGACGGAGGGTGGGCGCTGGGGATGGGACGGGCCGGCAGACAGCGTCTTCTTGCAGCAGATGGGGATTGGGGAGGGACGGAGGGTGGCTACCAGAGCGGCAATGAGCTGGTCACACAATGGTGGCGGGGGGACGCAGGGGCAAGCATCTCTTGCGGTCCGGCATCTCTCGTTTGATTGCTCAGTTTCTAATAGCGGTTGTACCATAAAAAGAAACGTTGGGCATTTTTTCTGGTCAAACACAAAAGGTACGTACACTTATTTCTTCCCGTACGTTACATTTCGAAGCCAGCTATGCATGGTTCGGTTCGTCGACTGTACCATACGTAGCATAAGTCCATAATTTGGTTTAGATTTGCTTTGCTCCGGATCCCACACTTCCAAAATGTAAACACGATCATACTCGCAAGAAACTTCATTTCTACAAAAACTGACACACACCGAAGACATGCTCTCTTTTGTATTACACCTTCACAAGAATACTAGACTGGTCGTGTTGATCTGACTGGCAAGGTCTTCCTGTGGATGCTCATGAACTTGGCAACAAATTCTGCACGACAAAAGAAAAAATGTTATGTTTTAGGTGCTGTTTTTGGGTAATCCATAGTGCAAGTGGCACTTGCAAAAGTATAATGATTGAATGCGATTTTTTAACTTTTTTGCCCTAAAGAAGAAACAATTTTCAAAGATTGAACATGATAGTCAAGAGTGGTTCAGAAGACACTGCACTTCAAGAAGAAAACGGTCTTTCAACTGGACTTGAATATAATACTACTCTAGAAACTGGAACTACGATTTTTGTTGGAGAATAATGCCAGAAGCAGGATCACCAGAAAAACATACACTAACATAGATGGTACTCAGACAAGGTTAATACTGGAATACATAAAAGCTGGCAAATTACCTTCCAGTTTCAACAGTGCACTTGCGCCAACGGGCAATCTCTTATCCTGGAATTCAATGCCAATACATGATTATCATAGACCATACTATTAATGCATGAAAACAGAAACACAGCAGAGCAAAACTCACATAGTAGGCATGCCAATAATAAACCTCCCTCTTTATACTAGATTGGATTCCCTTCAGAAATAGCTCTGCAAGCTTCTGAGAATGATCAAGATAAATGTCATTTGCATGGTTACATGTGAAAAGATGATAGCATGCTTGAAGTTAAATATACAATTCCAGAAAAGGAAACTGCCGTTTGTTTTGCAATGATTACCTGGAGTATTAGTTTAGGAGGTACAAATTCAACCAAGAGTTTCTGAAGCTTGCCTCTCACCAAAAATAACCTACATGGTGTTTTTCATGCATTACATAAAAAGAATTGCAAATATGTGATCACAGTTCAATCCCACCTTTCTGTATCGAATGTCAGTTAACAACGAAACTCATGCACTCGGTGACTGATAAAAGTTGATACAGTATAAAAGTATCGGTAGCTAAACATTCAATGACTGTTCTTGGCTCCAAATGTCTAACCTTTTAGGAGAAGGGTCATCCAATATTTCTGCAGCAATTTCCTGCAGAACATTCTCCCATCCTAATGGTATAGCTTGTCCATCAATGAAGGGGTAACTGGTAAACGGAAGGGAAGCAAAAACAGAAAATAGATAATGGGAATATAGTGATATAAATAAAAAGGAATTAATACTATTCAGAATAGACAAATATGGCAACCATACTTGTTGGCTTTGCATGCCTCCAAGGCCAATATTGCCTCCCTCATGTTTTGCCTAGATTGACTTGCGATGGTAGCAGCAAAACTTGAAGGAAGATCAAAACTTTCTTTCTTTGATATGTAAGTAAGAATATCCACAATCTGATAATCTTTTCTATGTTAGTCGGTGATGTTATCCAAATAATGGAGTGAAGCACGATGCTGTGAGCAAGAAACCTCACCTCGCGTGTATTGGGTACACCAATGCAAATAAGCTTGCAACGGCTCTTCATTGAATCGAGAATATGGGACTCGTCCTGGCAAGTCATTAATATCTTGTGTGTGTCAGAGGATGAATCAATCATCCATTTTATCAAACGTTGATTACTCTCACTAACTTTGTCAACATCATAGAGAACAATTACTGCAATCAACAGATAAAACAATCATGATAGGAAGGCATCAAATGAAATGGATTTCAAATAACAATGTTTCAGAGGATGGATATACCTTTGAATTTCTTTCTCACAGATGGATCGGTGGTTTTCTTCTTATTTGTAATTTCATTTGCCAAATCCATCAAAACATATCCAGCATTCTTCGAATAATACCTCAAATTAAGCTCCATATGGTGATCACTAGATGACAAAGGGACAAGAACGGGCATAGATGTAGAACCCTGCCAAAATCAGGGAAACCCTTTGCTCATTTTAACTCCTAAAAATGATTTTTTTTTCTGTGTGGTGGATTCTTTTTTTCAAATATGAATGATCATGTGACACAAAAAAAAGTCCCAGTCAGCAAAGGGCACCATGTTATGTTGTAAATTAAGTAGAAAGTAATGCAGCAGGTCACATGATATGTCATATGCACATGTTAAAATTCTAGAGCAATATTGAATTTCGGTTTTTACTCAGCCCCAAAGTTGTTGAGATGTACGTAGATACAAATAAGTAACCCCGCCACATAGACAAGTTAGATACAGACCACAAACATCAACACAGCACTTCATCTGTATTTTTACTAAAATTAGCTGGCACTATTCACTAATCTAGAAACCAAACTATGGGAAACTAACTTATACTTCCTAATTTAAATTATACACTTCGATGGCAGCACTAACCTGGCCACTGCAGCTCTTCAAGTAGTGAGAAACCTGTGAAAAAACAACAAATACTTAACGCAAGCTATGAGTATACAATGACAAAGTTTTTCCTTTTTTCAGTCTTTAAGTTTGTACATTTAGAGAGGAGTCACCAAAGATCTCAGTAACTACGGCTCTGCACAATGAACTCTTTCCTGATCCTGGAGGTCCTTTGAAAATGATATGCGGGCAAAACTCAGTGGAGACCTGGTGCAACAAAACGCTAAAATTTAGAAGACTAAATCACTAACTTTGAGCAACGGGGATGACAACATGTATAAAAGTATGACCATGCAACTGCTAAGTAGATCCATGCTTATTAGCAATTCCCAGGACTAATCTAGTCAGGAGGTAGAATGGACAGTTCGTCCAATAAAAGATAACAAGGATTACAGATCTATAAAATTATGTAGTTAAGTGCCTGAAAGAGGTTACCAACTGTTTAAGCTGTTCAATTTGCTCCCTGTGACAAGTAAATCCACCAAGAGTTCTTGGACGATATTTATCAGCCCAGAAAAGCCTAATATTTTCCACAACAAGAGCCTTCTGAATGAAACTCGATTCAGATTCGTCGGTTGTTTTGCTGTTCGGTGATTTTGGTTTTCGGCATGTCTTTCCAGTGACACATGGAAGCCAAGAATCATTTTGCGCCTTTTGCATGTTGGAGGTGAATTTCATGACTCCTCCAACTAATTTCCCAGTGAAATCACTGAACTTTCCACTGTCCCCACTATATCTGCCACTATTAAACTGGCTACTCAAAGTGGCGCCACTATTTATTTGAGTGTGCCGACTAGTACCATAGTTGGAATTCCTAATTGTTCGTGAAAGGCCTGTCTGGGCTGAAATAGATTTTGGTGTTTGGGCTAAATTATTGCTATTTGCTTCAGTACCATAATTCTCAGCACGGGCAGTTTCTGAGGTCAAGGACTTGTCATTGTTATGCTTTGTTGGTGTTCTCTGAATTGGAGCCCTACAGTCACGAGAGAAGATGTCACCTGTAGGTATGGACTCTGTACTCGTACATGCATACTCATTATATCTGGAATTAGGCCACTTGCCATTCGCAATCAACTCATTGATCTCTTGGGAACAATTTTCTGCATGTGAATCCTCTTTGATATTGTCAGCTGAATCCATTTCCCCCTGTTTGGAGATAAGATTAGTGCCAAGGAATGCAGGAGCTCTAGGAGGATGCTCCTTCTCATGAGGCCGTAGCTTTGGCGTGGAAATTGACCGGTTCTGGGAAAATTTTTCCTTGATAGATGACCGACTAAAGCTTTCCATTGAAGGCCGAAATCTGGGAGGTGTTCGGTTGCTCTTCTTGCGTAATTCATTCTTCCCACCACTGTGTGAAGAATTTTGGTGCACTTGTTCCGTGAACCTTGGAGGAGTACGGCTGTTTCTCAAGTTTGAAGTTTTCTCATTAGGATACTCTCTTGTATGGTTAGGAGACAAGTTTTGCCTTCTAGCACCAATTTGGGTATTCCTACCTGATGGCAACACTGCATCATTCCAAGGGCTTTCGTGCCACTCAGTTTCTGTGTCCGAAGGTTCATAGCCACTCTTGTGCTTTGTGGAAGAATCATTACGAGAATGTCGATTGTGTCCTGAGCTTCTCTCTGCAGCTAACATTCTCAATCCCTCAAACAGTTAAATGCTTATGTGGCTTAGAAAACTATAATCTTGTAATATCAACAGAGCAAAGAACTATCTCTCGAACTTCAAAGCTTCTGTGGCTTTGCAAACTGCAATTTTGGAATATCAATAGAATAAAGTAAAAAAGAATATGCAATTTTCAAAAATTAATTAAGTAATAAAACAAATCAAGATTCATTATGATGTAACTTAAAAACTTAAATGAATATAATGCAACTAATACAAGGATTAAGTAATTCACTTCGATAATTTCACTTGGCAACAGAGCTTGTAAATTAACAAACAGAGAACGATTTAGATTGCTATATAAAAGGGAACTTTCTGAACATGCAAAATACAAAATGAGTTCATAACTTTATATGAACTTACGTTCACTTTATTCAGACTCACAGATCACAGTTAAATCAAAATGCAGTGTTGCACGGATTTCACTCTTCCTTCATTCCTACATGGCATTCTTCAGTATTACGTTACTGGATTGCTGTGGGTCAATTTGCTTATATGATCTTACAAATAGTGTTCTGGTGAAAATCTGGCTGGGAGAAAATGTATAAAGCAACAGATCAATGTGGTCTCAGTATGAACTAGCTGAAAACCCTAAACTTTGTATATTGAAGCAAAATACCTAACTAGCTAACTCCTATACAGGGGAACTACAGTTCCAGAGATGCATTACTAAACAAATCACACTCCATAAAATGAAAGTGGTAGGATTTGATCATTTGAAAATGGAATTTACCAAGTGTTTATAGGTTCTAATTAGATAACCGTAGAGTTTCCAACCCTGTATAGTACCCTAACTTAGTTCTAGAGATTTAAACCGCATAAGAAATAATGAATCTATAGAATCAATTTTCTGACTCAAAGTAGATAACCATCTAATTTCCAATCCTGGATTTGCGCTCTACCATGCTTCTACAGACTTAAACTGTAGAGAAAATAATGGATTTAGAATCAAATATCTGACTGAGTTTTGCCAATATCTCATTCTTAAGGTGTTGCAGTTTACAGGGTAAGGAAATGGGTGATGCAAATTTTGAATCAAATAAATAGACAGATCAAGGATGAATCAGGAAAAGTTATTACCTGAAAGAGCAGTATAGTGTTCTTCCAACATCCACAGTTGGAGGGCCAAAGGGAGGACAAAAGCAAGAACTATAAAGAGACAAATAAGAGGACAAAGACAAGAAACACATATTTCAATTTTATTTTTCTGTGTTGGCATTTTTGTCTTCTTCCTTCACTCCACCAAGGAGAGAAGAAACCAAAGAAGAAGAGAGGAACCATCCATTCTTCTCCACTCCCTAGGCTGCTCACTATAAAAATTGTCATCTATTCCAAGGAAGCTAAATATATCCCTAAAAGGAGGACATATGTAGAATAGAACCTGTAGCTGTATGATCTTGCATTTATGCCTTACGTATTGATCCTTCATCGACATTTTCTCATCCTGTCAATCTTACTGATGTCAATAAGCACAGTATGCAACATCTGCTAGATCTTCACAAACATCCACCATACATAACGTATTTTCTGAAGGAGTATGAATAAGTTCTGAGGTTCATTACTAAAAGACCATGTCATGCACATGATCAAATTTTGCCATATTATCAGCAGATTGTTGAGTCGATCTTGAAACTAGAATTTTGTCCACTGGTTAGTACTCCCTCCGTCCCACTCAATAAGGCACGCACGCATTTTAATATTTAACTATTTAAATATTTGACCAATAAATATTTTATTATAAATTAAATTTCATTTGATGAAAATAATATCATTGGATTGTGATTTAAATTTACTTTTATGTGATTATAATTTTGTTGCTACAAACATTGTAGTATATGAGAAATTTAAAGTCAAAGATTAGTTTTGAAGATTGTGTCAAGTTTGACCACGTCTTAATGAGTGGGGCAGAGGGAGTATGTCAGTTGCACTAAAGTCCTAACTGAATAAGCATATTGACCTTGGTGATTGCAAAAAGAGAAAAAAAAACAGCATGCGCTCTTGGAAGAGACATGTTCAGTATTCCAATTAGGCCATTAGCCTTCAATAATTAGTTGACCATTTATCAAATATTCATGCCTAGAGAATTTATTAAAGTAAGTTATCTAATGTCCATGAAGTTTAATTTTGTATTAGTTTTGATAGTTAGAGAAATCTACACAAAATCTTAGAGCCAAATAATTGGCAGGGAACAACCAAAAAAGATCATATTATTGAATGAGATTAATTGAACATACAAACTAAGACTTGATTGTCATTTTGCAATTCTTTCAAAATACCATTTAACAGAAGGGTATTGTTTATGGGCAAGATACAAGAATAATAACCTTAAGTCCCTAGCAAGTTGAGGTAGGCTAGAGATGAAAGGTAATATAACTAATAGAGGTAGGAATGGTACTAGTACAGGAAAAAACAAATATTTAATATTCTAAACCAATTTATCTAAATAACCATCCACTGTGGTATAATTTACATGAGGATACAATTGAGTTCCTTCCTTTCTCGAGTCAATTTCAAAATATGTTTGGTCACCCTTAATAAATGTTGAATATATAAATATCAAATCCATCTTCAAGGGCAATGGTGCATCTGCAAATATTAAAATAGGATAAATTAGAATGAAAGATATGAACTATAGAAGAATAGCAATACAAAAGTAACCCAAACATGAATCAGCCCCATTGCTATCTAGCAGATTTCAAAGTTAATTTGCAACCAACAAATAGAAAGGTTTCAAAATTTCTTCCAATTTGGTCAGTTCCATTCTGTTTAGGAAGGACTTAGGAACGAAGCAGTGTACATCTACTTTTGGTCAAGCATAAGTGAATGTTTGCAACTCTTTTGGTGAAGTTTACAAAAACTAATCGGATAAATTCAAAACAAAACTGCAAAGGTTTGATCATGAAACTGCAACAGAAACTACTTTCAGAAACTTGGATTAGATTATTTCTTATACTGCAACCAAACGCAAAAAGGTAAAAGACTTGATAATGAAGGAAATAACCCTAACAGCAGGACTTTTGCAAAAACAAGTGAAACAATGTGACTCCAAAGTTATTTACAGTTTTACACAATTAACGGGTTATGGAAACCTTCAGTTTGGAAGCACTTATCACTTACCTTCAATGTTTTTCAGGAGTTGTTCTTCTGTGATATATATCTTGTTCAGGAATTTATTTATTTTTTTCTCCCAGAGGTCAACCAATTTGTTCATTGAGTAGACATTTCCCGAGGGTCTCAGATACAGCGTATTGTTTAATGTCCTGGGATCATCTATGGTGCAGATCGTGAATTTAGCAACATCAGTCTCTTCAACAAAAACTCCTGCAAAGAATAGTTCTCCGTTGAGGTTAAAAATACAAAATGTGAAAGAACCTCTCTTTTTCTTTTCAGGAACCAAACAACAGACTGGTGAGAAGCTGAGAAGTAATATGCAAAGACCTCTAGTGTTTCCATCACCAAATATCTTAACTTCATCTCTTGGAGGAGCATCGAGTCCTGGCTGAACAAGTGACGGAAGCAAATAACGCATCAAGAAGTTGCAGCAGATGTAGGTGTGAGGAATGCATTCGCTCTCTATTAAATGGCGTATTTCAATTTTCTTCTCATAGAAGCCATGGTCCATGCCACAAATTTGAACCTTTGTGGGATCAAGTCCATATTCCGCTGGAATAAATCTCTGCAACTCATTGCAAAATTAAAAGTGATGCTTACATTTTCATAATGCAGTAATGGTCAATTGGTCATAGTGCAGAATCAAGTAATAAGACTTACGCTCTGGAGGTTGTCCAACAAACTACTAACATGAGTAGAACTGGACATGATAATGTCAAAACTAACAAGCCTACCAAAGGATAGGCATTTTTCTAAGCGTATTTCAGTTGTTAGTTGTCTACACTGCAGTGCCACCTACGTTTTGGATTTTTTTTCCCTCCATTATTTTTCAATAAGATGGAACGGAATTAAAACTTTGTCGATATCAGTGTCACATTTCGTTTCACCCTCCATTCCTTAGTTTTGTCATTTTTACTAGTGCATTTTTCCTAAACTTCTAATCAACTGTTCTCGAGAATAAACAGCCAACATCATGTGACAATGCGACATATTCCGATATCAAAACAATCCGTTTATCCGAGCAACCATGAGTTGTGAGCTCACCTTCACGCACCCAGCATCCTTAATAGCCCGAATCAGAAGCTTCTGCTCGAGCGCTTGCTTCGTGGGCACGGCGCAGATGACGACATCCACCTGCCGCACCGCTTCCAGCAGGCTCGGGTAATCTTCGAGCGATCCCTAAACCACAACTCCACAAGTTCAGGCATTGGAAAACCGACGTCGATCGAAGAGATTCCCCATCTATCGGCAGGTGGAAGGGTGGGGGCCTGGGGGGCTCGCGGAATGCCGCGCTGGTTGTTACCTTCACGACCGTGGCGCCGGCGAGCGACGTGAGTGGGGCGGAGTCGGGGACAGCGAGGTGGTGGGGGCGGACGAGCGCGAAGGTGGGGTGGCCGGCGGCGAGGCTGGCGCGCACGAGGCATCCCCCGAGCCGCCCGGTGGCGCCGACCACCAGCACCCTGCTCCGCGTCGCCTCCTCGCACATCGCCGCCGACGCCACTTGATAAGATCTAGAGCGTTCGGATAGATTAAGAAAAAAAAAAGAGGAAAAATGATGCCAATAAGTAGGAGGGTGTGGGCGTGTGGCTAACTGGCAAGTAATGTTGGACCGTTGATTTGGATCGAACGGCTCGCTGCAAAGTTCGCACATATACAAATATATATGGTTGGTATGGTTTGAGGCCTAAATTAGGCTTACTAATATTTGACAATTTCAATAGTGTTTAGTGTCTATTTATTTTGAAGCCAAAATTTGGCATGTCTAAGAAAATAGGCCATTTCAATAGTGAACTTAGGTTATTTTGCCCTCAATCCAAACACAACTCTGCCTTACCAAAATTAGTCATGCCAAAACTTACCAAAATTTGGTATTGACAAAATTTGGTAAGGCCTATTTAGGCCACAAATCAAACCAACCCATAATCACCATACATCTTTTGTACCCGTTGATTGATTCCCAGCATTTACAACATGGTAGTAATTTTTACCTTTGGATTTTAGATAATGGAAGTTAATTAATTGTGTCTACCCCAGCTTCAGCATAAAATGCACGCAACCCAAAAAAAAGAGACTACTAAAACCTCATCTAAGTACAGAAGGTTTGAAAGAAACATGAAGATTATTGGCTATGGCCTATCAAACGCAGACCAGACCGCCGCTATGCTCATCCGGTAAAAAAACTCTCATGCCATCTAGTCTAACTGTCGTGATAGCACAACAATAGTATCATATAATCCCAGTTTGTAAAGGGTATATAACTAAAGTAATAACATGCAAAGGAGAATATACCACCTTATCATTAAAAAATAACTCCATTTCTGCTTAGCCAAATGGACTAACAAAGAGTTGTTGCACCTATCAAAAGCAGATTTCTCATATATGTACACATGAAAGCCAACTCTAAGCATATACTAAGTAACATTGCAAGTTGGTTATAAATTACTAGAAACCATATAAATTGCAGACCATACCAAAAAGAGATAAACGACATTGGACGAACAAATGATGGATGGTTTCATCCTCGTGACAAAAACAAAAGTCTTACAATCTTTTCATTTTCACTTAGTTAGATTACCCATGGTAAGAATTACTCCCCGACATAAAAAACAAAGGAAAATCTTGACCTCTAAAGGTACTTTTATCTTTGAAATGTGTCTTGATATTTGGGACCCCGATATAAACTAGAGCTAAGTAGCGGACCAAAAAGACCCTATTGGGGCGAGGTTTCAACTTAACACATATTACATTCATGTATCAAAACCAAATCAGCTACGTGAGGGAATAAATTATGCCATGCAGCTAATTTTACACCAATTAGATCCCTCGCCATGAAAAGCTAGGTAGGTTGGTTTGGAAAATCAGAGAAATAGTTGACTGTTTATGTCTTACTATGTTACAGGGACAACGATACCGATCTCTCAACAAGGTATTACCTAACCACTTATCTTTCCAAAATCTTATTTGAGAGCTGTCCTTAATACGAAATGATCCAAACCGGAAAATTCATATTTGACCTTCATGAGGCTAACCTGAAAATAAGAGTCACCCGCTTTCCAATAAGTCCGAGATAAAGGTTACGATTACAAATATTTATTATATAGTATATGTTGCCACGGTCCATCGGTAATAATAAATAATTTATATAATCACTTGCTAAGTAACGCTACATTCTTTACCTTGAGGTTATGAATTGAAGCTTCCGGTTTGAATTTTGTCTAATTTCGAGCGGATCTCGCATGGCAACGAGGGATTTCTCAAAAAAAAAAAAGTTCGTCAGCTAGGTAACAAACACCCCAACACTATACATAGATCACTATAAACTAAAATCACTACTAGTAAATTATTTATCATTTTTAACTAGCTTATAGGAGTACACTTGAACATCGCATTGTTTCTCTTCCAGGTTTATTGTTGATCACACGGATTGGAGAGCGGGCTCCGGCTGATCCGCCGGCTTGCCGGCGTCGAGGGAGGCGAGCCACTCGAGCAGCGCCCCGTTGAACTGCTCCGGCGCCTCGTCGTGGGGGCAATGGCCGGCCTGGAGGTTGACGACGGTGGTGTCCTGGTAGAACTTCTTGATCTGCGCCGCCTTCGCCGGCCCGACCCACGGGTCGAGGTCCCCCCACAGCAGCAGCAGCGGGCACGACAGCTTGCCCAGCAGCCTGTCCAGCGTGTACCGGCTCTGGTTCGCCATGAACCGCGACATCAGCCTGTAGTACACCTCGCCGGCGTTCGGGTCCGCCGTCGGCGCCGTGATGGACCCGATCAGGTATTCGTCGACGTTGGTCGCATCCTTGTACACCTGCGCGACGAGCAGCAGCCAGCAAGTCAGCAGCAAACGGAGCAAAAGCAATGGCGCGAAGGTGTTCGTCACGACGACGGTTCAGGTTGCTTACGCTCTTGAGGACCTTCTCGACCCTCGCCGGCTGCTTGGCCTGCCAGAAGAGGAACCCGAGCACGACGCGCTGGAACGCCTCCTTGAGCGGCCTCACGACGAGCCTGGTCACCGCGCTCTCCTCCCCCGCCGCCGCCTCCGCCGCCTCGGGCGGGCGGTTGGGGTCGCCGAACTGTCCGGCGGAGTTGAGCAGCACGACGCCACGGACCAGCTCCGGCACCTCGGTCGCCGCGAACAGCGTCGTGAAGCCGCCGAGGCTGTTGCCGACGATGACGGCCGGGTCCTTGACGACGTCCCGGAGGAAGTCGCGGACCTGCTCCATCCAGATGGTGGCCTCGTACTCCACCAGCGCCTTCTCGCTCCAGCCGAATCCGAGCAGGTCAATGGCGTACACCTTGTACTTCTTGGCCAGCTCTGGTATATTGTACCTGAAAATTTTCAGAAAATTGGCACCAAAATTTCAGCGTGTGTTAGTTCACATTCAGCTAGCTGATTAGCCAAATGCTCTGCCATGGTGCTATCTACAGTTAATCACTGTCCTATCAGTAAGACAGTTTTTTTCATGAACGTATAAAAGGATTATACACGTTAATATATTAGAAGAAAAATATTTTTTTACACAACGCAATTAGTCAAACCGGCTTATATAAGGAAAGAGAAAAAAAAGCAAAACAAAAAACTGAAGCTTAGGAACAACTACGACGGCTAAACGTAACTCCTAACAACGGGAAAGGGGCAAAGCCGCCGTACACTTATCAGTAAGACAGTAACTAGTCTGCATATTGCATAGTCCCTAAACTGGGGAGATGGTAATGGTTATACGACAAGCAACTGAACCAAAATGATTCTAACCTCCAATGGAACGCGGAGGCGCCGAATCCGTGGATGAGCACGATGGGCTGGCCAGCGCCTTGCTCGACGTAATGTATCCGGCGACCCCTCCATGTCCAGAAGTTGTATCCATCAGCCTTGAACGGCAACCTCTCCAATGCTACAAAAACAAACCGATCGAGCAAAATGAACTTAACCGCAATCGCGTTTTCGCAGCTCAGACCTCAGAGCATCGATTGGTCGTTTACCATAACACAAGAATCGATTGCTAAGTGCTAGTACTACTTACCTTGGGCAGAGCTGTTGGAGGAGGAGAGCATAGAGCAGCAGACGGAGAGGGTGACCCCCTTGGTCACGAGGTCCCTCCTCTGCATCATCACCAGCTTGCCTCCTCCTCGTACCAAGAAATCAAAAAAAGCCGCCCGCAAGGTAAAATAAAATACAAATAAAAATGGAAAAAAATAAAAAATGAACCAAGATGCGGTACCTTCGAGGGCGGTCTGCGGGGAGCCGCGGTGGCGGCGGCGCGCGGAGGCGGTCGGGAGGGCGGCCGCGCACGCGACCGACATTGGCGGCGCAGCAGCAGCGGTGGCGGCAGCGGCGGGATTCTTGGAGAAGAAGACGAGAGGCAGAGAGCTTGGTAATTCGTTGGGGACAAGCGCCAAGCTTTGTATAGGTTTCCGCAGTGAAATTTGTGTGGGCGGCGGGCAATCGGGCAGCCGTGGCAGCGTCCGGGCCAAAGGAGTTCGAGAGGGAGACAGAGATCGACGGAGGCAAGCGACTCTCTCCCGTCAAAGAGTTCGGTGGGGAGGTGTGGCGGGTGAGGCCACCAGGCAATGGGCCTCCTGATTGTGATTAGCGTGTGGAACCTGGGCTCATTGACTGGCTGGGCCGGCCTGGTCTGCGCGCTGCTTAAAGATGCTACTGCTACTTCCTCCGTTTCATAATGTAAGCCATTTTAGCATTGTCCACATATGTCTAGATTCATTAACATCTATGATTATGGGCAATGCTAAAATGTATATCTAGATTCATTAACATCTATATAAATGTAGGCAATGCTAGAATGACTTACATTATGAAACGGAGGGAGTACGTACAAGTAGTACTAATAAATCATCATCCAATACTTCTGACTTGAGATTCTTTGACATATGTCTAAGATTGGTGCCCTGTTTACAAAAAATTCAATCTACAGCAAAAATAGTATAAAAATTTTTCCCTTCCGACCAGAAAAATGTCTCTTTTCTTCGATTCGTAGCACTTTTGTCACATTCACTCCTCTAGGTCGATTGTTTGGCCAAGATTAGGGATGTGAACATATGAATTTGTCCTTTATCCAACCAAAAAAGAACTTGGGATACCGTTGTACGCTCTACCGCTTCACTTGTGACTTTCATGCAGTGAACTCCGGCGTGGGTGCAAGTGGGCTTCGATGAGGTATGGTGTGAGAGTGTCGACGCCCATGAGCGTGAGAGTGAAGGGCGAGTAGGCGGGAGATGCTAGGAGGGACATGCGAAGGATGGTGAGCATGGAGAGGCGAGGGGAACACCGGACGCGGAGTCGAAGAGGGAGACGTTGGTGTGGACGAAGGAAAGGCGTTGGAAGTTGGTGGGGGATGAGGTGACTGCCTTGAGAGCGAGGGGTGCTCGCTCCGAGAGGGTATAAGGAGGAGGGAGGCGAAGTGCGAAGGGCGTTGTTGGGAGCGGGAAGGAGGCGTGGTGCGGGTAGTGGGTGCCGATGGAGAAGGTGGGGAGGGCAGCATGAAGGTGAGAGATCAGGGAGACCTGGATCCCCTACCACCACGCGTCATCATGTCGACGGCTATCCTTGATCTTCTTGTGATATCAACACAAGCCAGGTACAACCTAACCAAGTCACCGTGCTATACAAGGCGGAACATGCGCATGCAAATTAGTTTTTCTCCATCCCGACTCACATGCATGAACGGTAAATATGACGGGTGCTACGAATTGAAGAAAAGCCAATAACATGTGCTTCTAGTTAAAAAGGGAGAGTTTTTGTACTAATTTTTTTTACCAACATATTTTTGCTATTGTTTGCTAAAAAATTGTTGGTCTAGCCTTTTTTAGACCATTAAAAAACCGTCACAAGTTTATAAGGTGTAAAACTCTCGAATACAACTAGAAAAGTTGGTTCTTCCTATATAGTTGGTACCCGCTAGAGAAGTTATTTGCTATAAAGTTTACACCATGTTGCGCCATGTCATCTTTTTTTCCTGAGCCGTTGGATTGTCTGCAAGTATCCGGATGGACGTTACATCGACATTGAACAGTTTTGGGCCAGCCCATGCTACTCATGGGCCTCTGTTACGCTACACATTTTTCCCATTGGCCCAACGATACCAACCATATCCATTCCTCCCACAGAACATTCCCAAATTCATTTACGAAAACATTGATAATACAATCTGTTAACTGCAATTTGTACTTTGGCTAGCCCGTGATTGTTAATGGGTAAGATTATTGCATAATCTTTCTAACCTCCATGCATCCTGTTTTGACTGTTAATGACTGATTTCTTAGTGGGATTTACAATATTTGATAAACATATCATAGTTTTGCAACTATATTATATACGAACATCATGCAGTAACGCGCGAGGTATCATCTAGTTAATACTAATGCTATAACTATTGTCTTGTACACTTTAAAAGTTACAATGAGTTATAATATAATTATACTATAACTATATACTCCCTCCGTTTCACAATGTAAGTCATTCTAGCATTCCCCATATTCATATTGATGTCAATGAATCTAGACATATATAATGTCAATGTAGGAAATACTAGGATAACTTACACTGTGAAATGGAGGAAGTAGTTATGGTGTAATTACATTATAATTTATTGAAAGTTCTTCACCAATAAAACTAGCGGCAACTCTTAGCAATTCCTACTTTTCTTTCCTCGATTACATGTGAGACACACAGCTACGGATGCACACCACTCTCATATTGTCGTAGAGGCATAAATGTGTTTTCCTACACAGGTTCAAAGAAACAAAAGGTCAGCGGTATATCACTATATCCCTGACTTGTGATAACTTATGCAGTAGCTAATTTTTTTTATGGTCCATAGCAGTTTGCAGGAAACCAATATTTGAGAAGTGAAGGGAAAGAAATACAAGGAGAATTCGCTCGACTTCTCAAAGATGACAGCAACAAAGAGGGTTGAGTTATCTTCCTACGGAACTGAGATCAACGTAATCTATTCATGTGTTCCAAACAAACTTTTTGTGGGATAAAAGTTATAAGGATTCCATCCACGGAGGACCATTGAACTCCTAAATGGACTTTTCAGAGTTCTTATTCTTACGTTTTCTTACGTTCAGAATCTATTCGTGCACTTGCTACTACTTCATTTTCTACTCCTGCCATCCTGTGTGTTCCTCAGAGAATCCCTAATTCCTACCCCCGAATCGTGTGATTCAGCGTGCGTGCGTGACTGCGCTTGTCAACAAAACTGATGCTAATACTAGTATTCAGTCAAGAATCTGCAGAACTCCGTGCTCGCTGCTCATGATTCCATTCGCAACTGGAGCTTGAAAAGGAGGGGCAACTACGCGCGCAACGCGAAGCCGTTGCTTGGAGTATTTTACTTCCGCATGGGCAATTACTCCGCATCTGAGAGCGCGCCAATTAACCGCATTTCAAAACAGCACACACACAAAGGCTGACCAGGTCGTCCAAGTCCAGTGACTGACTGGTGGGCCCGGATCTGGCAGGGCCCCAGTTGTCAGCCACGTGGATGGCATATAGGGCAAACACGATTGAAAACAGCATTAGCAATTGGGGAGTTTAATATATGCAGCCTTGGGGGATCTCTAGTATAGTGCAGAGACCTTTTTTGTTTTGCAACCTTTTCTGAACTAAACAAGCAAAAGAAAAGACATCGATAAAAGGGTGTGATTAGAATATAGCTACTGGGCTACTGTCTGCGTCCTCTGAAAGAGGAAAATGGTGGTCATCAACTCTCATCATTCATCATTGTGGATTACAGGGACCAGCGGTCCTCTCTTAATCTGGTCCGCTTTGCGAAATAGATTAGCTATCGGGCGTGTATTCTCTCTGTCAATTTGGTATATTGTTCCATCAATTGCTTAATGAGGATACCGAAGATAAAATGACAAATTGGTGTTCCTCCCATTGGGAAATACCCCAAAATGATCGTGCGGATATTTTTAACCTTTTTCTACTGATGACGTAGAAAAACTCTGTATCATTAGGCATTCAACTAAGCCAAAATAATTTGGCAATTTCAATTTTTGTTGGTACAAACCAAACATATGACTATTTTTGGTAGTACGAAATTAATTTTTGGCTTGATTAAGTTTGACTAAAACCAAACTTACCATCTATTTTTTTCCATATTCCTATATTTTCACAATCCCACATCTAGGGAGCCTACATAGTCTACTTTCTGAACTAGGGGAGTATGATTTTCACTTTCATTCCTATAGTTTTTTCCTCCATCTTAATTAAATTGGATGATCTCCTTCGGTCCCGACAATCCCTACAATTTTTATTTTTGAAGCAAGAGAAAAATATGCTTTAAGTTATGCAACCTCGACAGTTCTGCGTGCAAGAATTTCTAACTGTTGTTTGACTCGTATGCGACTAAAAACAGGAAGTAAACATGGAGATGCAATGATACATGCTTACCATCGATAGCAACTATAGTTTATGATCGGAAGGGGCACAAACAACAAATTGTGGATTTTGGGTTCAGGACAAAGGGATGGGGAGGTAGTTCCAAGAGAAAATAGCCAGCTGCATGTATTGTGATATGAAATTAAGCATTCGACCAGTCTAGGTGATTTGATACTTTGATGTATATGTTTATTTTTATTCTCTCTCTCTGTCTGAATAACTGGAAAGCAATGGACTGCATATGTTTCCAAGGTGTTGTTCTGACACAGAAATTACATGACTTGTGAAACATCCATATACGTTCCATGCTTTAAGAATGGCGCTTTGTGCCTATCCATTTCAGAGCTCTCTGTTCACAAATTTGAAACTTCAATTCCTGATGATTTGTGACATTATATATAGGTAAAAAACAAGAACTCCATCAGAGTAGTAGTAGTTCACTGAAACTGTTGCTCCTGAAATTCAAAACAACTCCAGAGAAGAAAAAAAACCTTCAGAAGTTCAGATCAAAACGCTCACGTGGTGCCACCAACATCTCTATATATCTGTACGTCGCTCGGTCAAAAAGGGCAGGGAAAAGAAGGAAGAAACTCAGGCCATGATTGAGAGCCCCATGATATGCGAACTCCGAAATATATTTGGAGATCATGGACCATGATGTATATTGATGTTATTCGTCGAGAAATGACGGTAACTGGGGTCCTTTTGACGAACCTTTTTCTCCCTTGTTCATACTGCATTTGCCAATTGCAGCTGTGTCCCAGTTGATCATTCTTTTCTTGCGAGAACCAGAGATGACGCCGGAACATGGAGAGTTGGACCCCTTGGCGTCCGGATGGAGGCGAGGAAATGTGGTGTAGGTGTGGTCTCCACGTACGCCCTCCCACATGAATATAAGATGAGATGTAATGAATGCCTTGAATGGATTGCAAGAGGGGGGCGATGCAATGCAATGCAATCATGCCAATGTGCCAATGGCAATGGCAACCAACAAGCAGCTGTCACCCTCATGAAGGGGGTGCAAGTATATATGCAATGCAATTATGTGTGGGATCAATGCAACTGATCATCTGATTCTGTGCTGATTAATCAGAAGAAGAAAAACCTCCCACTCTTCTATAGTTCTTGATTGACCATTGCCACTGTTTATTTGGTATGAATCTGAGAAAGTTAGATCACATGGGCATGCACCTTGGGAAATCTATATATGAAGTGATGACTAATGCTAGAGTGATTGGGTCCAATTTAGGATTTAAGAGGAATACATGTAGGATTCAAAAATATTTTTTTGGACAGAATGAATTCATTGAACCTCCTCTAGCATTTGGGAGGGTAAATTCAGTGAACATAGCAATATCCAATCTCAAAAGTTCAGATGAGCCACCATACTGTCAAGCATGGGTTCATGGATCTGCCGCAATGATGTGGAATGTTCGTAATCCAGAATCTAAGGAGGTAATTTACAAAAAGCACACTATGTTGGAAATTGCCCTGCACTTTATATAAGCCTTTAAACGATCTCTCACCATATGCTTCTGCTTCTCATCACTGGAACTTACCGACACAAAAATATAAAAGCATGTTCTTTCAATCGAAGATAAATGTTTCTCCACTTTCTCCACTTCCAGGACAGGGTAGATGCCACAAACACACGTGGTCACCATGCAATCCATCTCAATTCTCAACAACATTTCGTCACAATGAAATACATGCATTTGTTCTCTCTCCAATGAAGTAGTGCTCCTTTTTCATACTAGGACTTTTGTAGAATCACAATTCTTGTGGGGAAAAGAAAAATCCTATGACATTCTTTTGAAACAAAGGAACATGATTGTAAAATCCATAAGGATTGATTTCCTATACCCTCATTCCATTAAAAATCAAGTCCAATACATAGCACATACTTCCTCCGTTTCACAATGTAAGTCGTTCTAGCATTTCCCATATTCATATTGATATTAATGAATCTAGATAAATATATATGTCTAGATTTATTAGCATCAATATGAATATGGAAAATGTTAGAATGACTTACATTTTGAAATGGAGGGAGTATATGATAATCCGTTGCGTTTTGAGAATCCTTCATTCTAGAGATTTTTCTTTAAATTTTTAGAGAATGATATTTTTTACCCGTTTATATGTAATTGAATATAAGCAACCTTTTAAATTGGGAACTTGGTCTCTCAAACAACCCAATCTAAAATTTTATCCTACAAATATTTAAACTTACTATCACGGGGTGGTATTCATGTCATTGCAACAAACATACCCAAGCGGAATAATTAAGGGTTGGTTTGGTTTGAGGCCTAAATTAGGCTTTCCAATATTTGACAATTTCAATAGTGTTTAGTGCCTATTTGTTTTGAAGTCAAAATTTGGCATGCCTAAGAAAATAGGCCATTTCAATAGTGAACTTAGGCTATTTTGGCTTCAATCCAAACACAACTCTGCCTTACCAAAATTAGTCATGCCAAAACTTACTAAAATTTAGCATTGATAAAATTTGGTAAGGCCTATTTTAGGCCACAAACCAAACCAACCCTAACTATTTGCCAGCCTTTCGCATTTTCGTTCTAAAGATTTCCGTAATTTTTTTCACGGCATAAATTGGCTAGCTCTGAACCCCTCAAATCTCTCAACAACTTTTCATCTCTCATGCTTTGGCCATCCATTCCACGACTAAAGTTTAAGAGATCTTTCTAACATAATAAAAAGTGCCTTTTTTATATCATGGTAGGAGGAGTAACTTGCCGGCCAGCAATCCCATTCTCAGTTTCTCACCACATCACTTCACACCACACCAAGCAGCAGCTCAACTGCAAGGCCAGAAAGAACAGGAGCGCTCCACCGGTAGATATGAGTAGAGTAGCAGTAGTACTAGAGTGGTAGTTGCGCAATTGTGCTGTGGTATACACACTCTCCGCGTTCTGGTCTGGCATAGGATTCTTGTTGGGCCGCTGTTGAGTTTTGGGGGCCGCTACTGCAAGTAGCCAAGTACGCACCGGAAAAAAAATTTAACGCCTTGAAAAGTGAAAACCCAGAGGAGGAGAAGAAAAAAAAAGGAAAAAAGAATTCCCAACAAAAGCTGCCCCCACCGGGCTAAAAAAATCGGCTCAGCCTTTTTTTTTTCCCTTTCTTCAATCCCTTTTATCCTCTTGCCTAATAGAAACCCACACACAAACACACATGAATTCGCAGGAGCTTGCAGGGTGGTGAGAGAGGAAGGGGAGAGTGAGAGAGACAAAGCATAAAGGCGAGGAGCTGGATGCCGTGAAGAAATCTTTAGCCTGAGAGAGAGGGAGAGTGAGAGAAGAAGAAGGGAGGGTGATTGCTCTGATCTGGAGCTGGTTGGGGGGAAAGGAGTTGGGAGAATCTCATGGGAGCTGTGATGAAATGGGGGAGGAGAAGCTCCTTGATCCGTTCTTGAGCCGGGAAATTTGATCTTTTTAAGCTGCGGGGTTGGGGGGAAATTTGGATCTTGAGGCTACCCGAGCGCGAAGCCTGGTTTCTTCCGGTGCTCCGTTGCTGCATTGCCTTGTTGCCCCCAGATCCGAGCTGCCGTGCGAGGGAAACTCGGATCTTTGCTTGCGCTCTCCCCAAATCCGCCCAAAATTTGGGCTCTGGAGCAAGCTGTGTTCGTGGTAGCCCCCCGTGCTTCAAATCCTTTTCAGAAAGTTCATTTGTTTAGTTGGGGGTTAGATATGGCAGTGATGCGGACTACTTTATGAGGTGTCTCCTGCCATTTTTTTTTAGAGTAGATTCGTCAGTAATGGCGGATCTTGCCATGGAGTAGTAGTAGTAGTAGTAGTAGTAGTAGTAGCAGGGGGTTCCTTCGGTGATAGCGAAGGGTGCTTAGCCATTAAGCGGCGGCGATGTCTCTGAAGAGCATTGTGCGGGAGCTGAGGGAGATGAGGGACGGCATCGGCAGCATGTCGAGGCGAGCCGCTGACGGGCGCGCCGGCGGCGGGCGCGGCGGCTCGCGGCATTCTTGGCCGGTCCTGTGGTCGGAGCAGCAGCAGCCGCCGCAGCAGCAGCAGCTGCAGCGTCAGGAGCATCAGCAGCAGCAGGGGCGGTGGGCGAACCTGCCGCCGGAGCTGCTGCTGGACGTGATCCAGAGGGTGGAGGCCAGCGAGGCGACGTGGCCGGCGCGGCGGCAGGTGGTGGCGTGCGCCGCCGTCTGCCGCTCGTGGCGCGAGGTCACCAAGGAGGTGGTGAAGACGCTCGAGGAGTGCGGCAGGATCACCTTCCCCATCTCCCTCAAGCAGGTAACAAAGCTTCTCCGTCTCTCCATGCCGGTGATAGTTTGGATTTCTCCATGGTTAACTTTGTGGATTGCTGCAGCCGGGGCCTCGTGAGCATCCAGTGCAGTGCTTTGTGAGGAGGGACAGGGCGACTTCCACCTATCTCCTCTACCTGGGGCTCAGCCCATGTAAGTTAAATTTACATCTCTGTTTTTGGTTGTTGACAAAATATATGGCTTACAAATCTTGTTCTACTACCAATTTATAAGAGTATCATGTACCATCAGTCCATCAGTATTCAGTACTAGTCCAGTTCATCTGCATCAAGATGTGTTGTTTCTGCCATTTGCAACAGTGAAAAACCAGAATAAGCTGTTTGAATGAGTTACTACCATTGTTAATTCGGTTTACCGAAATCTGTGTCAGGTAATGAATTGTGTTCCTTAAGGCTAAGGTTAGGGGAATGCAATCTGCTATGGGTGTTTCATATGCATAGCAAATTTTCATTATTTACACGAGCAGATGTTTTCTAGTGCCTGCATGTATATGAAGATTTTGTTTGTCCTGCCTGTCTTTGAGCGCTACATTATGCAAAAATTCAACCGCGGAGGAGTACTCAGTGACAAGAAAAGATAATGTTCGCCTTTTCCGATCACATCAGCTGAACTGGTTGCTCCTCCAGATCGAGAAGGAAACCAACTGTGACTAATAAACATAGAGCCTGTAAAGGTTGTTTCAACGCACTTGGCTACCTCATTAACACAAGTCTTTGTAGCGTAGCAAATGTACAAGATCCTAAGCTGAACCTAACCGTTGAACGTGCGGTGCTTTACTATTTTCCGGAATAGGTTAGACAATATGTGCAGGCAATCCATGATATGCATGCCATTCTGCAGATTCCTATTCACTCTAGATGCATAAATATCTACTTCTAACCCCCCTATCTACCAGGCTGTGGGTGCAGTCCACAACAAACTTGGTACGTATGCTGTTTAGTACTTCCTCTGTCCCAAAATATAAGAACCTAGGATCGTGTCCAGATTCGTAGTACTAGGAAATGTCTCATCCGATTCGAAGTTCTTATATTTTGGGACGGAGGGAGTAGGATGTATTATAAGGGCTAAATAGCTCATCTCCTGTTTTGAAAATTTGAATAGAGCTAATATGGAACTCAGAATACGGACAATTAATGTTGACTACATCACTAACTATTATTCTATTTATGAATGCAGCTCTACATGGAGAAAACGACAAGCTTTTGCTTGCAGCACGCAAGATTAGGCGTGCGACCAGGACTTCTTTTGTGATCTCACTGGTCTCCAATGACTTCTCTCTATCCAGTAGCACCTATGTTGGTAAACTGAAGTAAGCACTTTATAATGTTGACTTTAAGTAATTTGGTTATTCTCTTACTTCTAGAAAGCTCACTCAAATTTATTCCCCTGTATCAGACCAAACTTCCTTGGCACAAAGTTTACAATCTTTGACAGCCAGCCTCCTTGCGATGCTGTAGTGTTGCCAAACAACCGACCAAGCAAACGACATTTCAAGCAAGTATCACCGCGATTGCCACTAGGCAATTACAATGTTGCTACGGTCTCATATGAGCTCACTGTCCTACGTAATCGAGGACCAAGGAGAATGCAATGCACCATGCACTCTATACCGGCATTGTGTATTCAGGAAGGTGGGAAGGCCCCAACCCCTACCGGCATCATCCACTCACTTGACGAACAAGTTCCCGCCTTATCAACTAGCAAAGGAAAGGAACCAGCCATAGAATTTTCATCGACAAGCCTCAGCGCTGATTTGTCTGGACCGGTCTGTACAAATGAAGTGCCTCTTGTTCTGAAGAACAAAGCTCCCCGCTGGCATGAGCAGCTGCAGTGCTGGTGCCTCAACTTCCGAGGGCGTGTTACAGTAGCATCAGTCAAGAACTTCCAGCTCGTTGCCTCAGTTGATCCTTCCCTTGGTATCCCTGCGGCAGAGCAGGAGAAGGTCATCCTCCAATTTGGGAAAATCGGAAAGGATATATTCACAATGGATTATAGGTACCCGCTCTCGGCGTTCCAGGCATTTGCGATCTGCCTGACTAGCTTTGACACCAAACCGGCGTGCGAATAACTGAAGAAAGGTATCAAACCTGTGTCTTCTCTCTATTTAGCTCAGGCAGCGTCTGATTCCGTTGGATGCTGTAAAATTCTCGGTCTTGCTATGCCAAAATGAGCCTACTCCTGGGGGAGACAGTAGCTTTGTCAGATCAAGATGAACAATGGCATCTATATCTTGGCAACTGGCAAAACCCCAGGAAAGATTTGAGTGACAATGCTGTAACCAACAAACTGCTATTGTACTATTGTTCTTGGAATGTTTAGCGGTGAAATATCACTGCGCTATGGATAATATGGACGCTGTTCATCGTGCCCTACCTCCTTCCTTGATGCTATTTACAGTGAGGTTGGCGATTATGATGCTAATTAAGGAGTATCTCCTGTGATCCATCATTTGAGCCTGTTACAGTTACAATTACTCCTGCAGAATCATCAGTAGAAAGTTAAACTCTGCAATCATCGTCAGTTTCGGCCCTGTTTAGATTTCGGCTGTGTTTAGGCTGTGTTTAGTTCAGCGCAAAGTTTGGATTTTGGTTGAAATTGGAGATGATGTGACTGAAAAGTTGTGTGTGTATGACATGTTGATGTGATGGAAAATAACTGAAGTTTGGATCCAAACTTTGGATCTAAACACAGCTAGATCCAAACTTCCAATTTTTTTTATCACATCAACCTGTCATACACACACAACTTTTCAGTCACATCGTACCAATTTCAACCCAAACTTCCAACTTTGGAAAGAACTAAACACAGCCTTTAACTTTTATTCTTCGAACTTCTAACTTTTTCTACATACACAAACTTTCAACTTTTTTGTCACATCGTTCTAATTTCTTCTAACTTTTAATTTTAGCGTGGAACTAAACACACAGCCAGAATGCATATTGGCAGTAAACTGTTGCTTGACACTGCCTCGTCGTCTGTTCGTCGCCGGCGGGCGGTGGCGGCGGCGGCGGCGGCTAACCGAGCGGTGGCTGAATCTTCTCTTCCTGGTCAAAGGCCGGCGACTGGCTGCACGTCTGCACGCGCGGTGGGGGCCAGCCGCCAGCGCAACGGCCGCCGGCCGTCCGCGTCAGCCGGCAACATCTGCGGCCCGTGGCCGCGCTCTTCACGTGGCGTGGCGACCCTATCCATGGTCCATCATCTCCTTCCTACTCGTACACGCTAGGCTTTGCCGCTGCACCAAGCATCTCCCAGCTCCGAAGTCCATGTCGCCATGACGTCACCACATGGCACGGTAGCATACGGAACAGTGGACGACGACGACGGCGACCTCCAAGCATCTCCGATGTCCATGTCGTCGTGACGTCACCACACGGTGAGTTGGTGACATACGGAAGGGAGGAAGACGAGAGTAGACGACGACCTCTGTACAGGCCGGCCTTCTAGAAGCAGCGCTATGTACTGTATTCCTTTTCTTCCATAAAAAAAACTAACTTTTGATCCTGAGTTTGAAATCAAACTCCTTAGTCCTTAAAAAAAGTTTATGTATCTGAATATGCTGATATCCAACTAAAATCCTTTAGGCATGTAATTACGATTGGAAATAAGAAGTTGGTTTTTTATTAATGGCTGAGGGACTACTGTATTTGCGCACGTGACCTTCTAGAAGGTGAGACCTGCACAAGAGGTGAAATCCGAACGTTCAAACAGGAAGGACAAGTCCAGTCTACAGAGTCACGCGCACACGAAACCCCGGGAGTTAATGCGGCAGCGGAAACCGGAAAGTGCCCGATATATACGGGGATTCGCGCGCGGCGCCGATCTGACGCGTCGTCATCAACGATTGCTAGATAGCCAAAGCTCTTTTGTTGTTTCGGTGCTCTTCGGCTTCGTCGTCGGCGAGGGAGGGTTTGGTTTGGGAAGTTGGGGGGGATGGATCGGTCGATGGAGACGGTGGAGGAGGAGGTGGAGGAGTACAGCTGGAGGGAGGTGCTGCTGCCGCGGCTCGTCCCGGTGGTGTCGGACGCGGCGCCGGAGCTGGAGCGGGAGACGGGGGAGCGCCGCCGGGGCAGGGAGCTCCTCGTCGCCGTCGACTTCGGGCCCAACTCCAAGCACGCCTTCGACTGGGCGCTCGTGCACTTCGCCCGCATGGCCGACACGCTCCACCTCGTCCACGCCGTCTCCAGTTGAGCACCCTCCCCATCACCATCCCCATCCCCGTCCGTTCACCTCCGAACTTACCTAGCCTTGTGGAGCATATATGCATCTAGTACTTTAATTAGCTTCCGGAATTTTAAATCATATACTAGGTTGATGATTAAGTAATTTATTGTAATTGCTCAAGCGAATTTAGCAACTTGATTTGTTTAGTGCACACAACCCAGTCGTCGTGTATGGATTAATTAATCAGAAGTATCTGCATCTCATTTGTCATTTGGCTGCTAGCTCACTGCACCTTTTTTTTTTTCAGATTTGAATCACCATACAAATATACATAGAATGTGATAGCAGCAGCCCAGGCAGCGAGCCTATATAATTTTCAGTAGGCTAGTTAATTGTGATACTTGTAACCCTTTTTATCTTCTATCTTAATAACATTCGGATTGGCCTTTCTTCGGTCATCCTAGCAAGATACAATGCAGCATCACCGTGTTGTGTCATTGTTTACTGTTGGATGAACCTATATAGAGGCCTGACTTCCAGGAGGTCAAATTTATGATGGACTTAGAAGTGGACTTCCGTTTGATGATCTAGTTCATTAGAGAAGTGAAAGCAGTACCCCCAGCTCAACAGCTTAATGTCGATCTTGTAACCGCTTTGTAACCTCCTTTTCTTAATAAGATTTGGTCAGCCTAATCCTTCGGCTGACCCGTTAAAAAAGGTTAAAACAGTACTGTAGTTTGAGAGACTAAGGGAATAGTAGCACTTGGGTATTGTAACTTTCTAAGTTTGAAGATTGTGGGTTGTTTTCCTGGTGTATTATCATAGAACCAGTTCTATAATCGAGGTACATCTGGTAAATTGTTTGAGATCACTCGAGCTTCCGGAATTTGTATGTTGAATAGAAGACAGTTGGTCACTCGGTCTTATAGTCTACATTCTGAAAGAAATTTAAGTTGCTACTTATTGACACATGTTTCCTTATCAATTTTTTGGATGATTGAAAATCAGGCTGATTGCGTAGTGCATAATTTGTGTAGGTGTCAATAATGATCTAGTATATGAGAAAAGTCAGGAACTCATGGAGGATTTAGCCATTGAGGCATTGAAGACATCACTGGTATGCTTTGTTCCTCCCATGCATATATTATTTTGTTGCACAAAGAAGCACCCAATGGTTATCCTTAATGGTTCATTTACATGCCTGATGCCTAATCTGTTGCCCTATAAATCTATATACATAATGCTATGGGTGGATTTTTGATGAAAACTTTGGAACCACTTTCTTGTTTGCTGAGGATCAAATTTTCTCTTCTGATATATGCATGTTCTTTTTATTGGGGATTTTACCAGGTCCGGACCAAGGCAAGGATTGTTGAAGGGGATGCTGGAAAGGTTATTTGCCGAGAGGCAGAGCGGCTAAAGCCTGCAGCAGTCATTCTGGGCACTCGTGGAAGAGGTCTAATTCAGAGGTATCAGACTCTTAAACTGCAGTCCAGTTCCAACTGTCTAAATTTTAGATAATCTTAGGACCTGATAAATTGGTTTGTAGACCTGATAAAAGATCACGACCTTGGCCAACTTTGTGAGTAGCAATTTTTCTGGTAAATAGTATACCATCAGGATGAGATTAATATCATGGGCAACCCATGGAACTTGTCATTCTAAAGCCCTTCTTTTTATGTTCTTCTAATTACAGCCCCTATTTGAAATATTGGGATGATTATGTAGTGAACCATAAAATCTGTTCACTAATATCTTGAGCTGTGAACGCTAAAATCTGCTCACTAATCCATCATCTAAAAGTGCTACTCACAAAGGACTAACTTTAACTTTCATGTTCTGATATTGTGTTTTAATAGAATAACCACTGACATTAATGGAAGAGGTATTTCAACTCTAGGGAGCATAATAATCAATTGATTTTACTCAGAATAATCTTGTGAGTATTCTTGTAAAAAATCACCACCAATGGTGTCATGCATTGGTATTGCGTGTATGTGGGTCTTTGTTTGCAAAATTTTCAAAAATCAGAATTATATGCATCGTTTCAAGGAGTAGATCTTGCAAAAATAGGCAAATAAATCTAGCATCCTTTTTACCTTTACCTTTTGATGTAAAGAAACTCCACTGATGTTCATATGTAATAGAACTTCTGCTTTTCACATTTGCTGTGAAGTGCTAAGCCCATGTTCTAATTCGATGATTGAAGAAGGCTGGCATGATTGCTAGTGAAACCACAACTTATAGCTTTACTAGGAATTGTAGTGAGATGTGCTTCAACTAATGCATTAAAGGAACATCAGCTAGAGTAGTAGGGTGCCCCTCAAGAGAAGATATGATAATTTAACGAGTTGATCTGAAATACAGTCAATCCTTGACCCTCGTGCAAATTTCTGCTGAATATTATTTTTGTCCCTTCTTTCTTTCAACCTTTTGATGCATGGTCATATTTCATTCTTGCACATGAGTTGCGGATGACATTTCAACTCCATCTCTAACTTCGCCTTTATACTGTAGTGTGTTGCAGGGAAGTGTCAGTGAATATTGCTTCCACAACTGTAAAGCAGCCCCAGTTATCATTGTTCCAGGCAAAGGTTAGTTCAAGATCTTAACTTTTCACAAAATAATTAGGGAGTACAGGTTCTTAGCTGCAGATAAGATCAAGAAGAAATTAGTTACGTTTGGATAACAAGAAAATAATTTTACATTTTCTCTACGATTTTGCATTGTAAAGAACCTAATCTTTTTATCTGAACATTATAAGCTTGCTTATGAAGTCAGGAAAGAGATTAATCAGAAAGTATATTGATGAAAGCAGTTTTTTCTTTTGGTACTTTTGTTGATTTGAGAGTAAATTTATTTATATCATGGTCTTCTAATGATAAGATTCATTTAATTGAAGTGGTTGAATTTATCGCTACTCTAAAAAAATTCAAACCAAGATAAGATGCTTAGATCCTTAGATCAGATGCCTTCTTTGAGCGGGACCTGAATGCATTCATCCAGAAATTAGAAGTATCTGTCAGCGTATATTTTGCAGACGAATTATCTTTTACTTCCAGTACAAGTAAGGTTCAGTTGTGTCTTTGCAGAAGCTGGTGAACAGTCTGTGCTTTAAAGGGCGGAAGAATGAAGATAGGTTGCAGATGATGGTGCGTCGGTATGGTGTTGTGCTTTCAATTATTGTAATTTTATACGTAGTGTTGTGAATTGTTAGCATATTTGTACTGGATTGGTATTGTTTGGTAGTGTAATGAAGGATGATGGATTGTTTAGAAGTTGGTGGAGTAGCAAGGCAAATATAAACACACAAATGTACTTGTATTGCCATTGATGACATTAGTACAGTTTCTATGAATAAAGAATCTTCAGCCACAAATATTGATGTGGTTAAAACTCTTGGAATGCGGACTTCTCCTTCCTTCATTCCTTCTTACATTTCCATTTTGAGATTGTCTAGCAAACAATCACCTGCAGGAGAAAGCAGAAGCTGGATTCAGTCACTTAAGTTAAATATAAAAGGGACTCTTTCAAGCTTTAACACTTTCATCACTCACAGGTACAAAAACTTGGTTAAGGTAAGCATAATTTTGTTCATAACATTATGCTAGCGTGCTTAAGCATAATACGTACACCTTTCACTTAATGCAAATTTATACATATGAGCTTAACGCAAATTTGTACATATGAGCAACTATACGAGGATGGATGCAGTTTTTTTAGTTCTTTAACCACCTGTCAATTTACCCTGTACTCTGAATTGTTAACTTGATCAGGAAATGTTTTATAATTTTTTTTCTGGACTAACTATTGTCTGTGTTCTTTCACATTAGGTTCAGCACAAAGTAACCTGCAAGCTTGATTCTCAGAATCAGTTACTCACTCTGTACTGACTGAAACGGTGCATCAAATCCACTGAACAAACCGTGAGAGCCAATGTCCCAACCTGCAGCTCCATTCACCTGCAGCAGCATACAGAAGCCCCCCTAAGTTCAGAAATGCAGTTACTAGAAAACCACACACCCCGTCAAGGAGGACTAATTTTTACAGCCACCTACGTTGAGGCATGGCTCCACCGATGCACCGGCCGGCACCGACATCGGCCCGCCCGGTGGTGAGTACTGGTTACTGACGACCATCTCCAGCCCATAGCCAGAGGATCCTGCAGAAGTTTGCATCTGCTGCAAGGGGCTCATCTGGAGGCAGGAAGGCTCGACCTGCGCCATCGGCAGCGCCATGGCCGGCAGAGCCGCAGGGTTGCACGCCGCCTGGCTGAGCTGCCGGCCGAAGAGGTCCTCGACGATGTTGAAGTTCACCACCGGGTTTGATGCCGCGATCTTCATGGACAAGAACTGCAAGAACAGCAGCCACGGCAAGCCCTTCGATGAACAAACACCGAGCAAGAAAGCAGAGCTGCATCCATGGAGGAGGGAGCTGGAGCGTTGGTGCTCGTACCTCGACTTGCTTCTGCAGGGACTGCACGTAGTTGATGATCTCGTCGAGCATGCCGGCCTTGCCGGTGACCTTGTTGCAACCGGGCACCAGCTCCTGCAGGTACCTCATCCTCTCGCTGATCCTCTCCCTCCTCACCTGCAAAAAAATAACAGTTTTGGCCATGTCGTCGTTAGCTCTCGCCTCGCAACAAAGACGCGAGATGGAGGCAGGATCAATGGCGGTGGCGTACCCGTTCGGCGAGGCTGTGGCTGTCCGTGGCCTGCCCACGGCGGGCTCTGACGTGGATGTAGTCGGTCTTCTGGCCGGCGGTCACCGTCGACGCCGAGGTCGCCGGGGAATCCTTGGGTGACGCCACCTCCGCCTTCTTCTTGGCTCCTGGCCGTGCCCTCTCCGGCCTTCCTTTCCCCACCGCCGCCGCCATCTGATCGGGATGACACGGCTGCTGCTGCTGTTGCTGCTTCCCTCTCTGCCTCTTGCAGATGCTGTTGCTCTCACCCTGACACAGGTACATACACAAGCCAGTCAAATACTCGGTCGGGTAGTAGCTGAACTCTTTGCAGCCAATGCACAAATCTCTCTCACCTTTGCGTCGTCCGGTCTCCTCTTCCGGAAGCTGCCTCCGCCGCCGCTGCTGCCGCTGCCGTTGCTGGCCTCCGGCGCCAGCGGCGGCTCGCCGCCTAAGCTCCCGTAACACATGCTTGCCAGGTCCTGCCACTCCTGGAGGTAGCCGAACATGGCGCGGCACTTGTCGTCGTCGAGCATGACGTCGTCGAGTAGCCCCTGGCAGAGGCTCTCGACGGTGTCAAGGTGACCCTTCCGGTGTCGTGAAACGTCGCCGCCGCCGCATTGCGCCATATTACTAACCACTTAGCAAGAAGAGAAGACGATCAATTCTAGGAACAAAGCTAAGATTTGGTTGGTTCTTCCTATCCTTTGATGCAAATAGGTAGTATGTGACCCTTTCAAGGTAAGCAACAGGATGGTAGCTAATGTGTAAGCTTAAGGGGAGGGTTCTTGTGCCTGAAGTTTGCGTGTCCCTTTCTCTCCCTCCCTCTTTTGCTCTTCAGGAATTTTTTCCTAATCCATATATATAGAGTGGACGATAGGTGGATAGAGAGGAGGAACCTTTCATTGTGTAATCGTACTTTTGGTATGAGATTGGATTTGGCCCTTTAGGTATGTTCATGTGAGGTAGGGCTGGATAAAGTAGTGCGGGTCCCTGTGTTTCAGCTGGCATATGCATTGGCTAGAACGTCTCATCAATTGGCCCTCCTGTAATCCACAAATTAGCAATTATGCTCTTGCTTTCATTTCCTCTACAAAAGAACATATAAATGTGAGAATCAATGGGATTGCTTTAGTTATGGGCATATGAATCAACACCATATCAGGCAATAAGATGTTGGCTCTTGAACCACTCCATATTATTTACTCATTATATACTGCATCATCCTTTTCAATTTGCTTTTGAATCATAGTCATAGCCATTCTCAAGTATCAACTTAAGTGATGATCATGCTCCATGCACTTAGCTAACCTTTTTCTAAAGGAATAACATGCACAAGGTTTTATTTGTGCATATACTGAAATAAGAGGTGGCTTCTGAACATTTGCTGATGCTGCAAAAGGACGATTGGGGAGGTGACAGCTGCTCCATTAACCTGTATGGACAGCTCTATCTTCTCTGCACTGACCCTTGTCCCACCACACCATACTCGCCACGTGTACATTTGCATTAAGAAATAAGATGCTCAGATTAGTGATAACCCGTTGGCCATATTACTGAACAGAACCGGACTTTGCATTCCAGTTCGTTAACACGAGTATTCCTTAATGAGCAGTGCACGTGAACATCGGCTTAATTTTTGTCCACTGACAATCTCCTGGTGATTGTCTGGAAGCATGCATTGCACCCCATCTTGGTGTCTGTTGTCTAGCACATTATGGAAGCAGGATATTGAGGGGAACTGTTAGTTTAAGTAGAAGAGACTATTTTCTTTTGAAGGGCAAGTAATGCTGCTATAGATCATGATTAGATGGAATTGTGCAACAGTTAGTGGTTGTTCAAAGACAGGAGTGGATTCGAAAAAACCTGGAGTGCTTCTGTTCGTTTTGCGGCTAGGCGGTTTTCAGTTTAGCATTCAACTATATTAGCTCCCTGTCTAATTAATGAACGTTTGTGTGGATCTGCTGATGATCTTATTAAGCTGTTCCTGCAGTTTTATGATTTTTTTAGCAAACAAATGCTCCAAATAGTCGACGTCCACTTGACCATTGCAACTAACTAAATCTATTATATTACTATCGGTGTCCATCATGTATGTATGTCTTGCTTACATAGATCTGCACCTATATATTATGAGTATATAGTTGGCATACACAGTTCATTCGGCTCTTTAAAGTTAAATTTATGACGGTGTGATTAATTGAATCTTGACTCTTGAGTAGCAAAGCTGTAAAAGGTAGTACAAAATTCATCCAAATTCTGGGGACAAGCCCATTAGGGTAGTTTAGCCGTCTCCTTTCGGTTGAACAACTCAAGCTCCGGTTTCAGGTTTTCTGCTAACTGGATCTCACATCCAGTTGGGTTAGGTGCAACCATAGAAACTTTAAATCCACCCCAGGCCATGAATTGGGTTTGAATCCTGAAAAAAAGGAAAGTCAAGTTAGTATAAATAAGATCCTGTTTCAATACCTACAGTTGGTGATCATAATACAGCTCCAGTCAGCAGCAAGAGAGATGATGCATATTTGTATACCTGCATGCACCAATATGTGTCACCACATCAATCTCATTCGAGGAATTGAAGGAAATAGGGATCAAGAAAGATCAGTTTGATCATCAATCTCATCCGGGGAATTGAAGGAGATGGGGATTTAGAAAGACCAGTTTGATCATTAGTAATTCCAATCTCGATGGATCAGTTTAGCGAGCTAGCTAGCGACGGGGAAGCAGAATCAGGCAAACCGCCCGGCCGGCGCGCGCCGACGTGGCCGCGACACGTGCACGACCAGCGTCCACACAGGACGAGAACTTGAGGGTAGGGATGGAAGCGGAACGACCCACAAATCTAGTAAGTGATAACTTATGGATTTTCGTGTCGTGGTTCACTTGTCGTATCTAAAGGTATATATTAAACTAATAGATAATCCACGAGTCAACGATTATTCATAATTATATTCATCACTAAATGAGTTCGTGGGTTGATTCGTTTACATTCCTACTCGAGGGTCGCAACGTCCATGCAAGTAGCCACACTCCACACCACTGCCATGCACGCGCGCAATACCGGTGGTGGCCTAGTGCTACAGAGCACACAGCCTCCATATAGCCCATACACGCATGCACTGCACGCCCATCATCAGTTCATCACATATCTCACCAAGCGGTGTGCTGTGCTAGCTTCGATCTGTTTGACCCTGAATGCATGCATGCACCTCTCAGTGTCCTGATCAGAGAGGGATCGCTGAGTTATAGCGCAAGGGTCACGGTCATGGATGGGAGTTCTATTGAGGAGAGGGATAGGCTAGCTCCTCTCTCTCATTTCCATCAAATTGTTTGTTTATTTTAGTTTTGTATCGAGCCAAACACTTATTTCTTTGACCGTCAACTTTTAAAAATTCATTGTCGAACAACATGTAAAATATATATTAAAAAAAGTAGTTCTCACAATTAATTAAAAAACAAATCTTATTATGTTAAACAGGATAAATTTCTAGAGAAGATACAAAATATTTGACTTAAGAGTTAGGATAAAACAAGAACGATAAGTAATATGAAGCTAATGCAGTATTCTTTTCTTAAAAAAATACTTCCTCCATACTCGTAAAGGAAGTCGTTTAGGACAGCGACACGGTCTTCTAAACACAACTTTAACTTCTTATTTCTATAAAAATATTTATTGAAAAGTGATATATGTATACTTTTATGAAAGTATTTTTTAAGACAAATCTATACATATAATTTTTACATTTTTAAACTCAAAAGCTTGAGAGTTATTCATGATTTATATTCCCAAGGTTTGACTTAAATATTTTCCTAAACGACTTCCTTTATTAGTACGGAGAGCGTATATGTTGACAGTACGTTTTGTGACGGCAAAAAAGATTTTAAAAAGGAAAACAACAGCAGCAACCTTTTTCTCCCCACCTCCCTGAATTTTTTTTACTGATACCACCGATGAAATGAAACACAGCATAAGCGTCATAAATCAATTCTCGAAAGCACGCCGATGCCATAGAAACGAAAAAAAAAACCGATGCAAAAATGCAGTCAAGTGACCGAAGTCAAGGCTGCAGAGAGAGAGAGAGAGAGAGAGAGCTAGGAGAGGGGCGCGGTGTGAGATCAACGCGGCAAACTGTGAGCGACTGTTTGCTGATCCTCCTCCACGCAGCTGCGAGTGCGCGCATGTACGCAGATGCATGGATCAAGAGAGGAGGCCCTAGCAGCTAGCAACAGCAGCAGCAGGGTGGTGGGGGCTCGCGGCTTGTCTTCTATTTGTCGATGCCGGCGGGAGGCACGGCAGAGGGGATCTCTGCCGGTGCAGCCCAACAGGGCCCCTGAAAGCCACCCCCAGCTACCAAGACACCCCACATGCGTGCGTGCCTCCGCCCGCGTGATCATCCAGAGGGGCTGTTTGGTTTACAGGGACTTATTCTTATTCTAAGTCCCTGTCATATCGAATGTTTGGACACTAATTTAGAGTATTAAACGTATACTAATTATAAATATTGGACTAATTCGCGAGATGAATCTTTTGAGTCTAATTACGTCATAATTTTGACAGTGTGATGCTACAGTAAACTTTTGATAATTATGGATTAATTAGGCTTAGAAAATTCATCTCGCGGATTAGCTCTCATTTATGAAATTAGTTTTTTTATTAGTCTAAGTTTAATACTCTAAATTAGCGTCCAAATATCCGATGTGACATGGACTAAAAAATTTTAGCCCCATCTAAACACCCCTAGAGTCTCAGATTAGTCCTCCCCTCCCGTCCCATACCTAGGGTCTGTTTAGGGAAACTTGAGATAACTTTAGATTCTAAGAAGCAACTGTTTGGTAGCTAGTTTCTAATAATCTGGAAAAGCTCTAAAACCCAGCTTCTCCAGCTTCTGGCTTTTTAGTTCATTTTTCAGAATCTGTAACTGCAGATTCTCGGAAGCTGTGAACTGTTTGGGGCAGCTTTAAGCAGCTTTTGGGAAAAATTGCAGCTAGAACGAGCTCCCCCAACAGAGCCCTAGCCATAGCCATGGCCCGTAGCTTAGCAACGTACTACTCCCCCGTCACAATTATAGAACATTATTGTTTTTAAAGAAAATCAAACTTGGTAATTTTTTTACTACTAATTACACTAACAATATCTACGATAAGTATTATATAAGCATGCTATATTACTAGATTTGCACGTTAAAATATTTTATGTGATGTTAATTTTATGGTGGTTGATAATATATACAATATGAAATAAATTAGTAGTCAAATTAAGTACTCCATCCATCTATAAAAGTTACACATATTACTTTTGATACCAAAACCAATAAGAAATTAAATCATCTTGGATGTTACAAGATCAAGGAGTGAATGCAAGCATGCAACCAATGAGTATTTAGATGATTCCTTGGGTTCTAATAAAACATTTAATTTATCTTTTCATTTAATTCTTGAGTACATAAAGACTATAAATAGGAACAACTTATTTGGAAAAACTTAAATGTGAAATAGGTGTAACTTTTATGGAGGGAGGGAGTATATCTTTAGAAACTCTGTAGAAAAAAATTGCAAATCTTATAATTTGAGGCAGAGGGTGTACTAGCTAGCTCGATCCATTATCCATTTATGTGTGGCATTCGCTTCTCCTGGACAGGTGTGGTGCGGCTGATTTTACACATGGATGGACGATGCGTGTATGGTCCGGGCTTAATTAGCATGTATACATGCATAGCGAGCGAGCAGGTTAATGGAATGCGTCAAAGTGGTCCGCGCACATGCAGTAAACCAAGGGTATTGTCTATGGTTAATTAAGCTGCTGCCTACGCATCTTGACAAACTTGGGGGGTGCATGCATGCTGCATGCGGTCCAGAATTCGTGGATATTCAGGCTATGCTATCCGTGTACGTATGTATGTAGGCGGATATATAGTAATCAAAATATCTACTCCCTCCGTTTCACAATATAAGTATTCTATTATTTTCCACATTCATATTGATGTTAATGAATCTAGACATATATATCTATTTAGATTCGTTAAAATTAATATAAATATGAGAAATGTTAGAATGACTTACATTGTGAAACGGATAAAGTATATTACAGGTCCAAGCTAGACATTAAGTGGATGATTCATCCACTTAATGTTTAATGTTTAACTCCCTCTTGCTCCCATATGGGACGACTGATGGATATGCAGCCTTGAGTTCTATCTATTTTATAGCTAGTTTTCACTTCAAAATTGTTCACCGATAAGTAGAGAGTTCATAAAACCGACGAAAAGTCGGTGTCCATGATTAACTGATACTAGTTGTATTAACAATTGAGTGTACCGGTGCACTGATACCTCCGTTCTTAAACAATACTCACTTCGTCTCTAAATATTTGACGCTATTGACCTTTTTAAATATATTTGACCGTTCGTCTTATTTAAAAACTTTTGTGAATATTATTCAATAACTTTAGTAGCAGTAGTAAATTTAACAATGAATCAAATGATAGAAAAAAGAATTAATAATTACTTGAATTTTTTGAATAAGATGAACGGTCAAACATGTTTAAAAAAGTCAACAGCGTCAAATATTTAGAGACGGATGGAGTACTAGAGTACTACTACCATCTAGGTATCTAAGTCTGTGTTTAGATCCATGGGTAAAAAGTTTTGGCGTGTCACATCGGATATACGGACACACATTTGAAGTATTAAACATAGACTAATAATAAAACAAATTATAGAATTCGCCTGTAAACCGCGAGACGAATTTATTAAGCCTAATTAATCCATAATTAGCAAATGTTTACTATAGCACCACATTATCAAATCATGGAGCAATTAGACTCAAAACATTCGTCTCGTAATTTACAAACAATCTGTGTAATTAGTTATTTATTCGTTTATATTTAATACTCCATGCATGTATCCAAACAGATATGACACGGTGAAAAATTTTGCCAGTGGATTTAAACAGGGCCTAAACAGAACAGAGGGAGTTGC